CCCCCCCCACACACACACAGACACTATCTCACCCCTGCTTTGCACCAGCTGGACCTCTCGTGATGATGTAATCGTGGCTCCAGTGTGTGTCACCGAACACATTGGCTGATGTTCCTGGGGAACGTGCATCTGAATGTTATTTGAACACAGCGGGACCATGCCGACCTGTAACATCTGTGCTGCTGTTAATCCACAGTGTTACTCCTCAGAACATCTTGAAGGGGGGTTTACATTGTACTCTCTCTACACTGATGCCAGTGATTCAGAGATTGATTAATCAGTTAAAACAAGCTGGACCAATTAATCATCAACTCAAGTCATCAAGTCTTTTATCAAGCTACCTTTAAAGTGTAAATTCACCTCCTAAATGCACTCACTGCATAATTTCCTCTGATTATAATACTACACAGTGGTTGCGAGAAAAACAATGTCAACGCTAACACCAGCATTGATGTGTTTCATCACAGTACGATCATATCATTTAGTTTGCAGCCTAAAAAAAACATGTCCATAGTCATTTGCATATAAAAGGATTTGACAGCAAAAGTGCAGCTTGCTGAAGAAACTTTTCGTCTGCTTTTGAAGTCTCAAAAGCAGACAATATAACTGTGACGATATAATCTCTTACCTCTGACACTCATAATAACACAACATTCACCCGATGGTCTCCTCTGTTTCAAAGCCTAATGAGTCCACACTTTAAATGCGTGACGGTAGCGCTTAACAAGAAGCCACATGAAGTACTTTAGTTAACAAGCAACGAGTTTAGAACTAAGCAGACGCAAGCGGCTAATTACCAACAAAGTTCTTCTTTGATCAAAAACTTTGTGATTGATACAAGTCACTTGAGAACAGACTGCTGTTATGTTAATAAACCAGGATGTAATGACAAGTCTATACATATCTGTTAATCTGCATACGTAACGCTGTAATTCACTCATGTGGATTGTTCTTGATTCATTCAAAAACAAGGTGCTACTTGAGCACAAAAGATCTTTATTGATCTTGAAAACAGTATAGTTTCTTCTGTTTGTTAGACTGGTGATTTGTTTGTGTGCACACTGGGCCTAGAAGCTGATACAACTGAACATCATTGCTCTTCATGTTATTTCGAGGAATGTGTATGTGGATCTGTGATTAAAGGACCTTGAATGTTGATTGAGTGAGCCGGTGCAGTATGTACTTATTCATGGAGGCGCTGAGGAACGGTGACAGTGAGAGCTACTTAGGGGACATGTTTGCTATTGTTGATCACAGTCTGCATGTTCTTTACACTAATGCCACTAACGATTCTCATTGCATCAAAGTTATTGCTCCTGTTACAAACGAGGAGATGTGAGAACTCACTTCAGCACGAGAGCACACACACGCACACCTGAGACTAATTATGCTGCTGACCACTAATCTTACATGGAACTGCCAACAACAACAACTACTACTTAGTTTCATGAACAAAAAAACAAAACAAAAACAAGGGCTGACCAGATTCAAGTGCACCCCTTCCAGTAAGCCGCTTGTCTGTGGCATTTCGTGAGGTCTGGCGGCAGTGTGCCTTGATCTGTTCTTCCTAAAAATAGCTTGATCCCACGCCCAGGCAGAGGAAATGGGACCCCACAGAGATTAATGCTTAAGTGATCCACGGACACCTTCTTAAATTTATGACCTGCTGAGTGGCTTGTATTTTACCATTATACGCTAGTAGAATTTGATCACACTGCTTTGATGTTAAGCAACGTGGAGTTTGAGAAAGTTTGAGAGGGAAGGAAAGAGAGGAGAAGACGCTGGTGGATGATGATGGGTGAGCAGTGGGAGGAAGTAATGAGGTGCTGGAGGAGGAAGCGTAGTTTGTTTGTCTGCAGAGAGAGACAGAAAGGGAGAGAGAGGGAAAGAATCACCTTGTCAGGCTACGTGTGCTGGCTCACGAGTTGTTTGCAGTTGTTGTTTTTTTTGTCCTTCCTTCTCCTCCCTTCCCTTCTACCCCTCCCCTCTGCTCTTGCTGCTGTGAAACAAACAAGTCCAGAGCAGCGCTAGTGTGGGGAATACATGCACATGTCAGGGAGGAGAGAAAGCATGGAGGACAACTGTAGAGAGAATAAGAGAGGGAGGGGGGGGAGAGAGGGAGGGGTGAAGGATTCCAATGGGTGGAAGACGAGGCGGAGCCAAACCGTCCCTCCTCTCAGACACACACGCACACGCACACATACACACGTACACACACGCACACGCAGTCAAAGACAGATGGGCGAATGTTTTCGCCACAGTAGCAGCCAATCGGGAGCAGGGCCCAGCCCCCTGTCTCAGGGCTGGGCCGGTCCGTGGGAGTGTGTGTGTTTCGCTCAACTTAAAGAGTGTTGTTTCACAAGGCTGGTCACCCGTCGTTGAGCGCTCTTTTGTATTTCCAACCTTTTTCTCTCATGGTTGTGCAGACGTTCAGGATGAAGATCCAGGAGTCGCCCGTCACTTGTGACACGGGGAGGGCCGGCGGAGAGGTGCGAGGCTCGGACCCGGACCGCGAGAGCTGCGAGGACGTGCCTCGGCTGGACCTGACAGCGCTCACCGAGGAAAACAACTGGGGAGGTAATTGCTTTAGGGCCGTCCAGCTGTCGTTTACACGCGTAGATTGCTTCTCTCGCATGTGATACTTTACTTCTAAATAGGCTCAATGCTGTTTGCAATACACACCGTTTCACACAAACATGCTCGGACGACCCCAGCTCTGCACATGGGTGTCTGGGTAGCAGCTGCACACCTCCTGCTGCCTCTCCTCCTCCTCCTGCTTAAGTCCTCTAGCAACCTATATCTGGCGGAGAAACACACTGGAGACGTGCTTGTTTGCCTGGCTGGGGAGATAAGGCAGTGCTGCAGACAGTTTGTTGAGTTGTTGCTGTTGAATTAGACCACATGTGAATCTTGAATTCATCTTTCAAGAGAAAATATGAAGGTTTTGAAAGTTTAGAGCTCCTCTTGTGTTTGTATTTAAAGAGCAAACAGTGTTTTTATTTTTTTTTTTTTTTTACCAGGATGTCTCAGTTAGTTGGGAATTTCTTTCACTGAAATGTTTCCAGACTGCTGCTGCTGCTGTAATTCCCAGTCAGAAATCAATCATTAAATGGGAAGTTGATTGGTGATAACAGTATACCAGATGGCCGTCTGTAGAAACGTGGCTTGCATTCGGAGAGTTTACTTATCCAAGTTTCATTTTATTTGTCTGTTTAAATTTGACATAGTGCATGTTTGCTCTGTCACTCCAGGAATTTGTGATGGTGATTTGGCATTCAACAGCAGCTTTTGTATGCATGTTATTACCGTGTTTATTTATGCAGAGGTGTTGGCGTTTGTGCAGAAAGGAAATCGTGCGCGATTGCACTAGTGCACTGAGAATAATGATTGTTTAGCTCGGACGTTGCGACACGGCGGAGGTGGGGTGGAGGTATCTGCGTTGAGCAGCCACTGGAATGATAGCCAACAGGTCCATGTCTTACAGTGACATACAGTTAAAGGGCATGTTGGCACATGGTTTAACATCTCTCCGCTGCAAACGTTGGTCTTTACTCCCACTTACCACCTCCACTGTTTCCTGTCTGATGTGGCAGTCGGAGAAAAAAAAATAAATAAATCTCTCAACTTTACCAGCCTCATGGTTGGAGCTTGCATGTTTCGTGGAGCTCTCTAGTGGCCAAATGTGATACGTGAAAAACAACAGAGGTCTGTGAGAGCTTGCTGTTGTTGTTGTTGTTGCTGTGCAGCACGAGCATGTCAAGTAAATAAATATTGTGCCTGAGCCAACTAACTGTTGAATCGGTACCGTACAAAAGTGTGGTGTTAGTTGGTTAAGCTCTCTTGAGTCTGTGCACGGTGTCCCTCATTGTGCTTGCTTGGAAATAAAAAATTAAATTAGCTTGAAGGAGGACGTAGTAGAGGGCAGCTTTGCGCAGTTTCTTCAGGGCATTTATAATCCAGATGGCTGTATTTTGCGCTGATATTATGAAGACATTTTGTAGTAGATCACTTGCCTGTTGTTTTTTTTAGTTTTGTCTTTTTGCCTCTTGTTGAATCTCCTTCCTGTACATTCTGTCCTGAATGCATAGCTGAGTTTGTGGCAGCGAGGGCGCCAGAGTGAGCCTGCATGATTGGCTGTGACAGGCTGTTCATACATACAGCTTCTCCTTTAGGTGCATGAGATGGCAAACGGATCAGGTCCTGTGAAGCATGAGGGCGAGGAGGGCTTGCTATTTGCACCAACTGCAATTGTGTAAAATGTATTGTGCAAAGTTTTAACTTTTTTTTTTTTTTTTTTTTTTCTGTGTTGCTGGCATGTTTATTCTTCACGAAGGAGAACCAAAGAGGGATTTATGTTGTGGCAAAACGAGCCAGCCTGAATAAACGGTTAATAAAGCTGTGTAATGGTTCTGTTAGGGGATGTGTACTTACTGTACAGAACAATGCAATACAGTACAAATGGGCTTGCGGGTGGGTGAGTCCATTAGGCAATGGTGTGAGGCCTTTGTCCCAGTACACTTTGTGCCAGCGCCTGTCATGATGACCTGATATTTACCGCTGCTCTGTCCTTGTCTGTCTGCCAGCGATTGTGGAAAGATGTTAACAGGCATTTCAACAGGAAGAGACAAGAATCTGTAGCTCATGTGTCTCGTTAATTAAGGTTTAGGGAGAGGTTTGTTATTTTGATTTCCCATATTAACTGCAGCAAGAAGGGTGCATGCTGGTCCTTTCTTTGCTTTCATTCCTTCATCTTGTCCTTTACTTCTTCCCTCTTTTCTTCTTCTAGATTCTCCGTTCTTTAACACCCCTTTCCTTGATTTCAAAACCATTTTTCATCCAAGTTGTTGTGATGGTAAGTGTTGTGTTACATCACCTCCAGAGAGAAAGAAAGAAACACAAAGATGTCTGAATGACCTTTTCCATGGCATGGCAATATGCTTGAATGATCTGGAACATTGTGGCGAGCGTCACACACACACACACACACACACACACACACACACACAGCAACCTTTAGTGAAATGGCAAACTGGCATGTTTTTTGTTTCATTAGTCTAGTTAATCCTGAACCATCAGCGAGCGGTTGATTTAAAGGATTAATTTCAAATGCCATGGAGCCTCAGTGACCAGCTACACCGCTCTGCACTCTGAGCCAGATAATAGACCTCAAACGAAGACATTCTGTGTGATTTAGAGTTTCGCCTGCCGCTGTGAGCGAGCGCTAACATGCCAGAGAGTTGCTACTTTGTAAACTGCACGTACCTAAAACTACAGGAGGACCCGCGGGACCAGAGCTGGAATTTGAGCCAAGTTGCTTCTCGCACGGCCCAACTCACCCAAGCTAAGAAAAATAAATGATGTGCAGTTTTAGACTGTCCATACATATTTTCTCGTGTGTTTTCTGACACTTTTGAATTTATATGTATATTTCTAGAGTCTCTTGATACCTGATGTTACAGGTCCCACCTTTTCCACGAAATCTACATTATTGTTCCTGCTGAGTTTCATGTTTTGATATAGTTTCCACAGAGTTTTCCCCTTCTTATTATAACAGAGAGCTGTGATATTTCCCAGTCTAGTCTTTTTCTCATGAAAGCTCGTACAGATGCTGACGAAGTTTATCTCTCACCATGCAGAGTGGAAACTAAAACACTAACTCATCACTGTACCTCTCAACAGGGGTCGCGTCCTGACATTATCCCACAGAGAGCCAGGCATTATTAATAGCCTGGGGATTGTCAGGGGTATCTGCGTGGCTATTTTCACCAGACATAATTATTACCTGAGTGAAGACTGGGACCAGGGGATGAACGGAGAGAGGGAGGGTGGGCGTGTCTCACCCGCAGTTTCAAAACAACATCTGTGACCATCGAGGCCCAGAGGAAGTTTTTTTTTTGTCCCTTCACGGTTTTAGAGAGAGCAGCATCATCATGTCCAGTGACTTTCACGTCGCCAGATAGGGTCCAAAAAGATTTTAGCAGGGAAAGAAATGAGCTTATAGTGTATTGGAAGAGAATAAGTGCTGATCTTTGGAAAATGAACATATTGTTGGACCTTCTCAGAACATTTTGAGCCATCTTGTATGTTACTTAGTCTTAAAACAGGGTTATAGCAGGAAGGAAAATACCCTCCTTTCCTTTAAACACATTTTCCACTGTTGGCAAAGAGCAATCTAGATTAGAGCTGCAACAATTATTTGATTCCTTAATTAGCAAAAAAAAATTTCAAGCAAGAAAATCAGACATTACTAATTTCAGCTTCTCAACTGTGTGGATTTTTCTGCTTGTCTTTGTCTCATGTGATAAAGAATTCATAGCTTTGTGTTTGAGACTCTTGGTCGGACAAATCAAGCCATTTGTGAACATAATCAGGTATTTAAAAACAGCAAATACATTATCTATTTGGCAGTTTTTGTTGTTGTAGCTCAACCTTATGAGTTTTAGTTCTTACATTTCATTTGTAACTAGTTATAACGGATTTAAAATGACTCTGATTCAATAAGCAGATATGATACTTGACTTAGAGTTCATAAAATGCTTTTGAGACCATGTTTTATTCTGTTATTCTGTAGCTACAGAGCTTTTGGGCATAATATGATAAATCTGCTTTCCAAAATCAGTGAAGTATGTTGTGTTTGCATCCTCTCTTTGACAGCAGAGCAATCAAAGTGGCACATTTTAACACAAAGCCTGTTTGTTTTTGTGTTCGTCAGAGCCGATCCCAGCGCACTCGCAAATGCAGAGGGAGAGCATGGACCGTGAGGAAGCCCGACTGTCTCCTCACGCTGGGGGGCGCCTGATCCGCCAGCTCCTGGAAGAGGACAGCGACCCGATGCTGTCACCTCGCTTCTATGCCCACGGACAGTGCCAGCAGTACCTGGACGACACTGAAGTGCCTCCCTCGCCGCCCAACACACACTCGTTTGCCAGGTAAAACACTTGGCGCATGTTCTTTCGTGTAGAGGCAAGTAGGACGGAGCTGTCGGTGAAATTAACATTATTGCATCTCTGCAGTCGCAGACGGAGTTCGTCTCTTGGCTCCTGCGACGATGAGAAAGAGGAGTTGACGTCCGCTCAGCTCACAAAGAGGATCCATGTGCTGAGGAAGAAGATCCACAGGTTTGAGGAGAGGTTTGAAGAGGAGCGTAAATACAGGGTAGGTCCAAGGGTTTCATTTATCACATAGAAAATAAGAAAATCTCATTTTTACAAACCTTTAACAAGGGCTTTGACTATCCGAGGAGACTCCTATGACTCGTTGAAATTGATTATAAATAGAGAATTAAGGTCTGTGACTGTTTTTTTTTTAAAAATTGCCTCATAAAAAGGCTAATAATACCACAAAGAGCTCTACTTGAGATTTATTGTCAATATAGTTACGTCACCTGAACAGTAATTAGAGCTACTGCTGCTTCATTGTGAAAGAGAATCTGTTCTCATCAGTTCTTTTGCTTTTTTTTGCTTTTTTCCATCCAGCCCTCCCACAGTGATAAAGCTGGAAACCCAGAGGTTATGAGATGGGTCAATGAACTGTCTAAGCTTCGTAAGGAGCTAAAAGGTAAGACAAAGACACGAAAAGCCCTACACTGTAGTGGGATGAAACTCAAATCAAAGCTCATTAATATTCTCCTGCCCCTATCCTCAACAGAAAGCAAGCTGATGAAGTCGGAGGAAGACCTGCCGCCTCTGACCCGCCAGCGCAGCAACACGCTGCCCAAAAGCTTCGGCTCTCAGCTGGAGAAGAAACCCCAGCAGGAGAAAGTGCCGAAGCCTCCGGTGGAAAGCAGCCTGGAGACGATTTTGAAGAAGCTGCAGGAGAAGAGAGAGGAAGTGAGCCGTCCAGAGGACATCAAGGTTAGACCGTGACCGCGATACACTCTCACAAGGACAACAAAATAAACAAAATACAGATATATTCGACAAATTTAAAAGCAGGCGTACACAGAGTGAATCCAGATCAGGTTCTGATGTTTCAATTCATGTTCCCGGCTGACAGGATATGACACGGGAGCAGATCGGAGCGGAGAAAGTCGCCCTTCAGAAAGCTCTTCTCTACTACGAGGGCATACACGGTCGACCAGTAAGTCCTCCTTTGAATACACAAACGCACAGACACAAACCAAACTGTATATCAAATCTCCTGCCAGCCATGAGAAAAGCTTGTTTACCACTTCATCGTGACCCAGATTGCAAGTCAAGGGTGAATAATGTCTCAAGCCAGAGCGCGTTCGTCATGATTAGCTTTCACAGTGTGTGTCTGTTCTCTATAAATGAGGGATGGATATTATTCTTTTTGTTCCTTTTATATCTTTATTGGTCACAACTTGTGCTGTTAGTCACAGGAGCTTCAACCACATTTACGGGACAAATGAAGCTGTAAAAACTGAACTGTAAAGAAGCTGACACACTTTTTTTTTTTTTTTTTGATGTCAGACCGAAATCCAATTGGAATAATTGTGGCGTCTAATCCCTGCTAGTTTTGTTGTATATCAGGAAGTGCAGCTGGCCTTTCTGTCACCTCCTCACGCTGTGTTGTTCCTCGGTGGTTTGTGGTTAACGACCTTCACGCTCTGGAGAACAGGCTGAGGAGTTGTTCGCCGTCTGGGTTAGCTTGTCATTTTGTGTTATGTTTAATGCTGTAGCTAATTAGTTAGAGTAGGACAGAGAGAAGCGAATGCTGGGCTAACAAGGTGTCCCTCTCCTTTGCTGCTTCAGGTCACCAAGAGCGAGAGGCAAATCATGAAGCCCCTGTACGACAGATATCGTCTGGTGAAGCAGATCCTGTGCAGAGCCTCGACCATCCCCGTCATTGTAAGTACCACATCTTAACCTCCCTTCCTTTTCTTTCTTGTTCTCCACAGTAGCCCATTTGTCCTGCGGCTCTTTGACGAGCGAGCGGCAAAGATCACCCCATTGTCAAAGCATCTGTAGACACTTTAATCCCAGCTCATGTTGGCTTCGGTGCCGGCTGTGGGAACTGGTGGCAGCCGTGCTGCAGACGTGTTATCCACCTTTCTAAGTCCAGCTTTGGCAGCTCATTGAATCCCTCGGTTCGTAAAGCAGCTCATAGGTGGCGGATTGAGTTCACAGGAAATGACATCATGAACAGCTGAGTGCAGGAGAGGGTCAGACTCTATAAAAACATTCAACTTTACTATGATATGAGGACTTGTTTGCTCTAAGAAACTACACTTAGTGTTGTTAATGCTACTCTGTTGCATTAATAGTTGCATAAAATATAGATGAGTGTTGTTTGTTTACTCAACAATTTAATAACTAGTTCTATTATATAAGATATGATTATCATTATATATATATATATATATATATATATATATATATATCTGTTATATAATGCACTACCTTTAATCCCCATCCTGCAAATTGGGACCACTGACAGCATTTTTATTATACTGGAACAATTTTCCATCTTTTAACCCCACAAGCTCCTCTTTTTTTGTCTCTTTTTTTACCTAAAATAAATACTATAAAAAAGAAAGGTAACTCTGGAGTTTACTCTCAAAAAGTCAATCTACTCAATCAAATGTACAGAGGCACAAACATGGTAAAAATATGTTTTTTTCCTGCCTATTGAAAAAAAAAAAAAGTAAAAAATGTCATGTTCATTTTATTTTACTTTCACACAAGAAATAAGCAGCTGAGCTGTTGTGGTATTTGGATCTTGAAGTGGTTCACACAGAGAGAATCGTGGTGTTAGAAGTGGTTGCGACCCTAAATACGTTCACTAACCCTGAATCCTGGCACATATTGAAGGCGCTGTTTGTGAAGACTAATTCGAATTATTGTCATTTGGACCTCCTATGGAAAATAAAGTGGTGATTTAGACATAGAGTTTGGTAAAAACATGAAGGACGCATGGCGTTTTCTCACGGCCTTGCTGCAAACACCAGCGCGAGCGTCTCAGCGTGGTTAACGCCTCCTTCTTAACCGTCACCACAGGGCTCTCCTTCCAGCAAGCGCAGAGGTCCCCTCCTTCAGCCCATTATCGAGGGCGAAACCGCACTCTTCTTCGATGATATCAAGGTGAAGAGCTGCTGCTGCTTGAACAATCAGCCGCCAGCTCCAATGCCCCGCCTCCCTCCTACCCCTCATATAACTCAACCATTCACCCCTCTAATGAACCTGATTGCTGCCTGTTGATTGGGCGGTTGCCTGTTTCCTGTCACCAGCTCCTGTAGAGACGTTGAATCAGTAGCTGCCTGGAACTGTTGTTTGAACTGCCCTGTGATTTTTGAGCAGTACATGTTGTGTTTTAAAGGATTATTCTGGTTTATTACAACCTGGGGTCTTATTTTTACAGTTTTGGCCATCATTTCTACTAGTGATAATATCTGCTGAGATCTAGTTACACACGATAGTTTAAAAGAAGTCTGATGGGGCAAGATACATGAGCAGTCAGACAGAATTGAAACAAACCTCCTAGTCAGTCAAACGTAATTTGAAAAAGAAAACTAAAATGTATGACCCAGGATACCTGTTTACCAAAACATTCGTCACAGAGAGCTGTGAATGAGGGTTCATTAACCAATATTATAAACCCAAAAAGGTTGTTTAGACCACTGATTCCTAACCACGAGAATTTGTTCCCCGGGGGGTACTTCTGCCATTTTCGGTGGTTGCATGGGAATATTGTTTGCCTAATTTGGAAGAATTATGATTTGATAAAAAAATATATACACATATTTGTGTTTGTACGGAAAACAAACGGCAACAAGTAGGATTGCAAAGTGGTTCAGTGTATTTATTGTCCCAATAACCAGTGCAGCTGAGATGACGCCTGCACAGAACACACCTGCAGTTGAAACACCTGAACACCTACGTGTCACCAACATAATCTACATACAAAAACATTGTAAAATGATCCCATCTTATATTACTAACACTGTTAAGTAAGATCCAATAAGTTAAAGCAATGGAAACTACTCGTTGAGACATTCCAGATTCATTTTTGACCTTGTTTACAACTGATTATCTGACAGTTAGTGTCATGTTCCCTGATCTCAGTAATGACTTTGATGTTATGATAACCATAAGAAATGATGGTAAAAGCTACAATAGTAAGACCCACGTTGTAATAAAGCACAATGATTCTTTTTAAAAGAAAACGGTAATCAAGAACTAAATCTTTGTGCTCTGCGTATTTTGCTGGCTGTAGTTGCGTCAGGACTTTAGGTTGGTTCTCGGTGGACTGTGTGCATTCTAGTTGACTGCCTTCATTAACTCCATCCACACATACTAATGGATATCGACATGGATCACAATCGAGGTCCATGGAAGTGCATTGTGCTGCTGTACCGTGATGATTTATAAGCACTGGTGACTAACCCTGCACGACCCTCATGCACTGTGGTGTTTGAGTCTGGAAGCCGGCCAACAGCATCGTTTTTTTTTTAGATGCCACAGCACGACTTGGCCTTTATGTCCCCCGGCCACCGAATGACCTCTTTATGTTTCTGCAGGAGGAGGAGGACGGCTCAGAGGACGAGGGAGACTCAAAGACGCAGTTCACCATGACCGTCCGACCGGAGCTTAGCGTGCTCGGCTTCCTGGACCACATGGATGAGGAAGGGGACGGTTTCATTTCACCTGTGGACGAACTATCAGCCTCTAAGAGCATGACGGACATGAGGCTGTCCAACCTGCACTCCGCCACCATGTAAGTTACTGGAAGAAAAAAAAGACATTCAAGACTGTTCTCACATAACAGTGATGGCACGTTTACACAAGGAATGTATTTAAAGTACAATTTTGAGGCACTTTACTTCATTATTTCCATTTAATGCTACTTTATACTTCTATCCCTCAACATTTCAGAGGCAAATATTGTACTTTTTATCCCATTACATTTATTTGACAGCTGTAGTTACCAGTTACTTTTAAGAGTAAGAATTTACAGTAAAAAAAACAAAATATATATATATTATTTTATGAAACACATTGTAGAAGCAAAATTAATATTTTCAGACAGAAAAAGCAAAGACTAGAGAAAAAAATCACAAAATTACTACAGAGTTTTGTATCAGAACTTTGTTATTTCGTCTTCTCTACCATATCAATCATCTCACAACCATGCAGATTTGTCTTGCGATCCCTTTAGCGGACTTGACCACTAGGTTGAACCACTGAAATTGACCTAATTGTATATTAAGAAGTTAAAACTAGCTCCTCCTCCAGTAGCTCCCAGAGTAAAACACTGCTTACACATTGATGCATCAGTATTCACAATCTATTATTGTCTTAAATAATAATATATCACTTGCAGGATGAGTTCTTTTACTTTTGATAATTTAAGTATATTTAGCAAAATAAATGTTCTGTCCTTTTTAAGTAGTACTTTGCTTTTTTTTTTCTTTTTTTTTTAAACCTGTAATCAAGTATTTCCACATTAGCAAAGGATTTGAGAGCTTCTTCCACCACTGCTTTATAAACCCTTCAACAAATTGAAATATTCTTGTCCAAGATATTTAAATATTTCTACTCTTTTTCCTACAGGCAGGAACTCGTGGAGCAACTCCAAGAGACCCGAGAGGAGAAGAAGAGACTCCGCAAGAACCTGAAAGAGTTTGAGGACCAGTTCTTCAGACAAAACGGAAGGTAAAAGATTACATAAGAGAAATGGAGAGGGCGTAATTAAAAGACATTCACATAATTTACTTTTCACTGTTGAACCGTTCCCATTTCTGAATGTTTGTTGTCTTGTTCCCATAGAAATGTGCAGAAGGAGGACCGCTCCCCTTTGGCAGACGAGTACAACGAATACAAGCATGTTAAAGCCAAACTGCGGCTGCTGGAAGTCCTCATCAGCAAAAGAGACTCGACTAAGTTAATCTGAGACAACAACATAAAAAGACTCTAAAAGGACTTCAGAGAGACAATCAAACACATCTCACCCTGAAAATATCTGATTTTCCCGCTGCCATCTGTGCAGCTCGTGTTTCTGGCTCAGGGGAAACTGTTCGCCTGTTAATCCGTTCTGTGGAGCTCAGCTGGGTTTTCCCTCCGGACCCCGCAGAGAGTCGCCGACTCGTGACGGATTCAAAGCGTCACAAAGTCACCTGCTTCACCTGAGAAGTTCCCTTCCAACAAACACCTCACCTTGATAAGACGACGTTTCTCGAGACGCACGCAAATATAGTGAATCACACTTTTACTGCTCATAATTTATTTCTATCCTTTTGAATGTTTTTATTGGAATGGAAATCAGTTATTTTTCTGACGCTTTGCTGTAGAAGTCTTAAAGAAAAACCGTGTAAGTAAAATAATAGATATGAAATTATTGCTATTTTGAAAGAAGGATTTTTGCGATCAAGATGTATGTGTATTTTTGTAAGGGAGACTTTAGTATTTGTTTAACTTCAATCAGCTTAAGAGTATTCAGTAAATTAATAGCTTTCTCTTATTTCCGTTCTGACCATATATCTGAAATAATTTTAAATCGAGTATTTGCTCACTAAAAGAAGTGTTTTTTAATTTCAATACAACCCAAAGACAGTGACTCAGAGTACAAACTACAAACCAAAATAGTTCATACTCAATAAAACACCTACTTTTACTTACTTATAAATAATTTTTGTGATCACTGGTACCTACTTAGGCATTTGACTGTATATTTTATATATTGACATGTTTTTCCCCCCATTTACTTCCTGTCAAATAAGCTATTTCTTGTCTTGAAATCACTGTTATGTTTTTGCTCACATTGATAGACATAGACAAACGTTTGTGAGGCGACTCTGGAGGACAGCTAAAAGCTGTTTTTTTACAGCGGTGTGTGTTTCCTTCTCGTCCTCTTCAGAGCGTGTTTGGTTCTTTTGTAAATATGGATCACTTGTGTATGTTTACATTTCTGTGAGCGAGTACATTTTTCCTTTCCTTCTCCAAAATGGATGATTTATCAGTGTGAATTTCGTTTTTACTGAATGTAAACACTGGCAAGGCTTAAATGAATTTTGAGTGTGTACATTTTAGTACATAAATTGTATTTGTATTTTGTATATGTGAATGAAATCATATTTTTAAAGAGTTTTTGGGCGGTGTGGATTTCTTTCGAGTGTCTCCGTTGATGTGGAGATGTTTAGGTGAAAAAAATTAATGTGCAGTAAATAACCATTTTAGTGCTGCAAATAACAATTACTTTCATTTATTCATCTGCCAATTATTTTCTTGATTAACCAACCTTTAGTTTGTTTTATAAAGTAAGGAAATAGTGAAAAATGGCAAAGAGCCAAAAGTATTTAGTTTACAATTATATAAGACAGAGAAAAGCAGGAACTCATTAGAGAGGTTTACATTTTGTTTGAAAAATTATTTAAACAATCAATTATTTAAAAAAGGTTAATTTATTGATGATGCCAATTTAAAAGATAATACAGAAAGTAAGTAGACACAATGAGCTCCTAAGCTAATGTTGAACATATTTCTGTTAATGATACAATCAAAGACGAGCATTGTATAGTTTAATGTAAAAAAGTTGGCTGAAACAGAGCTTTGTGTAGATTTCAGACATATACGCAAAAAAACTAAAGTAAAAATCACATTTTCTGTAGCACATTAAAAGGTGCAAAAAAGTAAAGGGCCGCATAAACCTTTGCATAGGACTAAACTCTGCAGGGGAAACTAGCTTTAATTCGACAAGTATTGACTAAACATGTGTGTACATGCAGTATAGAGCAAAGCAAGAAGCAAGTGTCCTAAGAAAACATCTCAGAAGAGTCCAGTGTTTAAGACCTTTAGGAGGGTCACCCAGAGAGCTTTCACAACATCACTGGGCTGTTTCACGTTATTGCTAAACAGATGTGTCAGTGTCTGAAGTTATTTTCACAACAAGGTATGAAATATATAAAAAAATATATGCATATGCAAGACCAATTCACAAACTTCACACCAATGCAACCTAATTAAACATCAGTTTGGAATAAGAGGGGTTTGACTGTAGGAATACATACAGCATCAGGGCAAGTTTTGGAACAAGTGATGTGATAGATACAGTTCCTCAACGGACTAGCTCTAAAGTCTTTAATAGGTTATCTGCTCACACTTTTAAATATTGTGTCGTCCTGTACAAATATCACAATTTAATTATCTGCAACAAACTAATCACAATTTATATATTTTAATGATTATGTATGTAGTATTAAGAGACCTTTTCAGATATATATTTATTCTCTTTCTGATTGAGAGTTAACGTTAGCTCAGCGACGTTAGCCAAATATGAAGCTTCAGCTAGCAGCCAGTTAGCTTAGTCTCGGAAAAAGACCGGAAATTGGGGAAACAGCTAGTCTGGCTTTGTCCAACGGTTACAAAATCTGACAACTAGCATGTCTAAAGCTCAACAATGAACTTGTTATATCTAATTTGTTCAAACCAAAGTGTAAAAACAACAATTTGTCATTTTAAGTGGCGTTATGTGCCAGATTATTTCCTGGCTCTGATCAGTTGGGGACTCCAGAAAAGTGTATGGTGTAACACTGTTATTAGTGACCTGAATATGAAATATGAGGGCATGCAATAAATTCTAATAAAGGTTTGCAGTGGCAACACAGACCTAAAATTTCTCTCCTAATTAGGTCACAGAAGCTCATGGGTCACAGGACACCATGCGACACTGGTCACAGCCAAGAAATACTTGGATAAATAACTACATGTAAAACTGCAAAATCTTGTTTTTACACATTTTAACTTTTAAAAACACACAGTTAGTTAGTGAGCTTTAGTGCTACAGTTGGACAGAGTCAGGCTAGCCGTTTCCCCCCCGTCTCCAGTCTTTGTGCTAAGCTAACCTACCAAGCTGCTAATTGACACCTTATACAACAGACAGATCTGGAAAATGGTACAAATCTTCTCGTCCGACTCTGGCAGAAAGATAATACGCGTATTTCCCAAAGTGTCACATTTTTTAAATGACAATCGGGTTTTTGCTTTCACTCAAGAACATGCACACAGACAACCACTAAAAAATAAATAACTTTAGAAGTCAGCTTTTCATGTTTTGCTGTAGAAGGCAACACTGTTGAATGCAGGTTAAAGACCAAGTCAGCTGCTCTGATCCACAGCTCAAAAGAAAAGAGGGATTGCAAATAATATTCACCACGTTTCATCCGGCACCCTTCTCCTCGCCGAATACTCTCCCATTAACAAGATCAGTGGGACAAACATTTCAAAAGGTAGAGATTATATTCAAAGTTCTATTTACATACGTATATACACATTTTATAATTTGTCAAAAAATAGCCACTCTATTTATTAAATTAAAAGTAACAAAAAGAAGATATATTGTTTCAAAATAATAACATAGTTCATTAAAAGGTAAAAAATAGAATTTAAGGAGTTGAATATAAAATACGCCGCTGTGAAAAAGAAAGACAAAAATAAAACTACATAAACACCCAAAGAGTTTCTCAACCTCTTTTGGCCTTCGATGTTTGCTCACAAAAGTTGTATGATTCCAGGTGGTGATATTAATGTATTTTGTGATCATTTTTTTTTTTACATACATACATACATACATACATACATACACACTAGCAAAAGTTGGCTTAGCTGTCTGATATATTTGTAATATATCAAACTAATACAGGCTGGTCAGGTTTTCCCTGACAAAATAGTAAATTGTAACATCAAAATTGCAAGCCAAGGCATTGATACACTTTTATTTATTAATAACTATTTTTGTGTGCATTCAAAAAAAAAAAAAAAAAAAAAAAAGAAAATAACCTATATAAAACACAAAATACATTTGTCAATCGTGTGTGCATTCATTCATCAATATTGACTTATTTGACTATATTTGTATTTCAGGGCTGTGATGTATTTAAAATAAATATCAATACATCAGCATTAAAAAGGATCTTTCAAACGGTCCCAGAAGGTTGAGAAACTATGTCCAAAACAACAAAAAAACAATAATACTCTGCATGTACATAGATAGACCTTTCAGATTTAAGATGTTCAACAATCTCGTGAGGGCATATAAAGAGAGTGACCAGTCCTGAAGTCCCCCATTACACTCTTTTGATGCCGACACGGGGGTTGTATTGCTGTTAAAGTGCATTAAAACGGTTGTGTGTCTCCTCCTGCTCAGACCAGGCTGAAGCCCTCGTACTGCTCCACAGCCCGAGTGAGACGGCGGTGCAGGGTCTCTTTGGTCTGGTAGCGGGGCATGTCCAGCAGGTTGTAGCAGGTGTGGGCCACCGGTAGGTAGTGCTCCTCCGCTGTGGTGGACTGGATGGCGATACGCAGGCTCTCCATGCCGTGAATGGGGATGCGGTCACTGCCGGTCAGGAACACTGGAGGCAGGAGACACGGAGGTAAGAGTTAGAATCAACTATAGAGCCGGTTAAAATGGTTCTAGTTGCCACATAAATGAGACATGGCTGCATTTATATGGCGCGGTTATAAAAAGCTTTACAATTTGCTGCTCATTTACACACTCACCTACATGTTCAGGCTTTAGTTAAAGCCAAGTGTGTGCAGACAGTGTATTGTCACGCATGAACAAACTGCACATTATTACAGTATTTATGAGACGTTCGAGTGTGATAATTAAACTGTCATGCACATCGAGCAATTAAATACTTGCATAAGAACTGCTTCTTCTTTTCCAGAGGGAACTCGTGGAACACCTCCCAGAACAATCTGACTGTTGGATGCGTGGCTGTATATTCCCCTTTGTAAACAGCATTCTGCAAAGAGGAAAGGTGTGGTGATGAAAAGCTTTCCCTGTGTTATCATCACTTACACATTTACTCTCCTGCATCAACTCCTACACAACATCAACCAGTGAAACTAATTCCTCAGCAACGTGCATGCATTTCCACATAAAATGACTAAACATTTCAAGCAAATATATAATTTTTGCCTTGATTTATCTTGCATAACAATACCTCTTAGGTTTTCACACTGATGTTATGTTGTAATCTGAACAAGGACCAGAGTTATCACAAGTAAAAAAAAAAATATGTGAAACCAAATGCCATTTGGTTGATTATATTGTTTCACGTTGCCTTTTTAACATCTAGCCGAACACAACAGAAAATGTGCATCTGTTGACTTTTCCTTGAACGTCATCATCAGGTCCAACTTCTTATTTATCCAAGACAGAAAACTAATGACAGTCCCATCAGGCTCAGCTGTTCTTTGTGTTCAGTGCTTATTTTGTTAGTGTGCCAACAGTTGTATGCCAACAGTTGTATGCCACCACCGACCAGTCAAGTTGCAGTTTACATCCATGTCTGTCCAAAACGTCATCACTTTATCATATTAGACATTTGTGTGAGAACGTCATAATTTGATGAATTCTCAAAGCGACCTTTAACAACCAAAATCCAATTAGCTCATCCTTAAGTCTAAGTGGACATTTGTGCATCATTTGAAGAAATTCCCTCCAGGCATTCTTGAGATATCACGTTAATTCTTTCTCCGTTTTGTGTGTGCGTGTGTTTGATTACAGAAGTGGGATCAAGACTTTAAAGACTTTAAAGACTTCAACTCCACCATGCTGTCAGATTGTAGACTCAGCTACTGAGTTAGTCTCATTCCAGCCTGTAGATTCTCTTGTTTATCAAAGCACATACTTTTTTTTTCTCTTGCGTCTACAGCTGTCTTGACTCGACTACTGTTTTCTACCAGATCACACTCTGGACCAAAGACTCTCCCCTCACTCTGTCTGGCTTCCCTGCCTAGATATGCTCAATCCATGCTCAATCCACGTCTCTGACCAAGAGACTCTCTGCCCTCCTTTCACATTTAAGCATTGCTAAGTTTCAGTATTCTGTGGTTCTTCATTTGGGTTCATCCCAATTACTTCCATATCACTGACGGACAACCCGGCCATGGCTATCGCCGGCTCTGAGGCATAAAATGTCCTCAAAACCTGCTGAACAAATCTTCCCTGTGAAAGTTAGCATGTCATGCGTTACTGCTCAGCACTGCGTTAGTGGAAAATACTCCCTGCTTTGTCAGTTACACTGTGAGCATTGTGACTCACTTGCCAGATGTTGATGACGTAAAAGTCAAATTTCCAGCTCTGTCCTACGTGATAATCGTCACATCCACGACTGTCAGTTTGAAAACACTTGCATAACAGCGCACTAAGGTTTTCTTCTTACAGTCGTCCCAATCCAACTATGAGTTATACACATGCTCACTGACCAGGAACAGGAAATGGTTTGAAATTTCTGCTGGAGGACAGAAAATCACAATTGTTGGACTTGTTACTACTACAAACATCCAGATTTTTAAACCACACACACACTGACCTTCTCCATCTCCTCCCAGTTGTAGTTGTTGTTGCCGACCACCATGGCCATCAGCTCAGACGGCTGGAACAGCGGCAGGATCTCCCCACCGCAAACCTTCAGGAAGCCAGAGGAGAAGGCCGAGTACTGCTCGCTCACAGAGTCTGAGAACACGTAGCGCAGGTAGGCCTCCACAAACTCCTTTCTGAAACACACACACACACACTTAAGTAAATGTTCAAGATTCATTAATTTGTTCTGCACTACAGCTGCATCCTCACAACACAGTTTATAAGGAAATTATTTATCCAGACTTCAAGGTGTGACTGTAAACACTCACTTCCTCCTCCATTGTGTCTGTACCCGTGTGTGTGTTATGATTAACTTGATTATAATTTCAGATGTTGCTTTTTTCAGGCTCACTGGAGTTCAACAACAAACTCATCATCCAGCCTGAGTCTGTTTACATCTCAGTGAGGTCTCACTGCTGAGGTTGCTCAGAGAGGTCAAATTGATCATCTCTTCCATCAGTATAAATACACTGTGCAGCTCAACATTATTTAAGATAGAATGCGTGGAAAAGCATTCAAAAATAATTAAGCAAGAGTCCTCTATGGACTAGCTGTCACAATTCCTGGCTTTCCTTTGGCAGTACTGAAGTTAATTCCCTACTGCAGGAAAAGATGGCTTTGTTTGGGGCTGCACGGTGGTGTAGTCCAAATCAACATGTCTCCTTCAGTGTCTATGACTTAGATGTTTTACACCACAGCGATGACAGTTTTCTCCATTAATTCTGTTATTACAGTTCTATATCGGAGTGTTGAGGGGATTTTGCAGGAACAACTTGGGTCACTGCCGCCATCGCCATCTGTTTAGCACCAGCAGCCAGACATGTTGACACCGCCAACCCCACAACTCTCTGCAGACTCCTCCACATAACACTGTAATCAATGCCACTGGCACAAGGACAAGCTGCAGAAACAGGGTGGCGATAGTGTGAAAAAACACACCGACTATTAAAATACAGAACTCTTTGTTTTCTACGTTTTCAACACAGAGCATGACCTTCAGTTGGAACAATGGGACACGAGCTGCCAGCTGTGTGAGCGACATGATAATCTCAGCGCTGGAAAAAACAATACATTTAAAAACCTCAGTCATCTGTTTGTCTTTTAGAAAGAACAGAGCATTAAAAATGTTCATGAAACAAGGTCATTTAAAAATGGGACATCAAGTAAAGGAAGCACTGATGAAATTGTTACTTTAATATAATATATAAAGCTGCCTCACCTGTTGTTTTTGTCCACACTAATGCCTTCTCCTCCGGGAACGAGCTCCTTGACTTCGGTCATCCCGTAGTTCTCCCTGGTGATCTGAGGTGTGGACACAACAAATAAGTCTTAGATTAGACTGTCAAAAAATCCCATAAAAAGACCAAAACCAACGATTCATTGTTTACTAACAACAAGTATTGTCTGTGTTGCCAAAGCCTGATATATCCTATCTCTCTGACAGCCACAGGCGGTGTAGGGAAGTCAGAAAGTATTAGAGACACGTTGGGAATTAAAAAACTCTTAACCTTAAAGTCATGAAGGTGAAACAGGTGAAAAGTTAGGCTTACAGCAAAGTTGAGAAGAAACATCTCCTCCACATCACCTCCATCATAGTCGAGAAGTTGTTGTAGACTCCTGCAGACGAATAAACCGAAGAAGTTAATGTCTGGAAGTAACAACACCATTACAACACACCGTCGCGTCAGTGGAGGAAAAACACAAGCGAATTATCTTATTAGTAAAACAACTAAACATATGAAAAAGGTGAAGGCCAGAATCACCATCATTAAAATGTTCACCACGCCATGAAGTAAGAAACTCATTAGTACATTTCATATGAAAAATAGCTCCTTCATGCACATCACCATCATGCAAAGCTAAAGACATTGTTGACAGCTGTAATAATCATTTCAGAAATCTGTTTGTTCTACCTTATCAGTTTATTACTTTGGCCTTTAGGTTTAAATGTGTCCCCGTTTAACTTTTAAAATGAAAACCAGAGATCAGCTGTTCCTGTCCTACAGCTGCATGGATCAACTAGAAATTGTCTGTTGGATTAAAAGTGAAGTGGCGACATATTGGCCAATAACACCACAGGCAATGACTCGGAGGGATGTGTTGCGTTAGATTTCCTGCAAACAACATGCTGGATATTTACCACCACAACACAGGAAACATGGAAAGAGGAAGTGTCGCTGGCAAAGGAAATGAAAATCATTGAAAGAGGATCGCACATTTAAGACAGAAAAATAACAGTAGCATTTAAAAAAAAAAAAAAAAAAGAAAAAAAAAAAAAAGTTGAGATCATGTCTTTTAAGGGAGAGTTGTCTCTAAAAGCATCACTCCAGTTTTGTAGCTTTCAGAGGTTTTATCTCAACATCAACTGGACACAATCAGGCACAAAGGAAATGCTGACTCTTCCTGCTCAGTTCAATGAAGAAGCATTTCCCAGTAGCAGTCAATTTTAGTGCTTCTTAAAAAAACAACCCAAGCGAGATAAATTGTGCGCAGCAGGTGCAATGTCTAAGAAAACACAAAGTCTAAACATGAGAGGATGCAGTGCAGGACATTTAAAGTTCAGACGACGGGCTACCTGGCCTCGGTGGGTGACAGCTCCTTGAAGTCCTCCAGGGTTGGCGACACATTGAGCAGCTTCTTGTAGAGAACCAGGGGGAAGTGGAGGTCCACCACTGTGGAGTTGTAGATGGCCAGACCGCAGATGATCCCGATCAGGTGGAACCAGTTCTGCTCAACAAAACACTGGAGACAAACAAAAGGAAAATATTTTAGGATTGCCTTTCTGTACCAGTCTAAGATCTAACAAAAGAAGTGTCTCAGTGTATATTAACATGACTGATGACTTCTCACATCCCACAAGTTTTAAAAACTTTAGAGATGAAGATATACCAGCAAGATAAATTCACAACTTTTATTGTCCCAAAATAAACTAGGATTACTGATAATACCTGGTTAGTGGTATTTATCGGACATGCTTTTCAAATTCTAAATTATCACAGCTTGATAATAGTATTTAAAAGGTCTGTTGAACAAAAACATTTTAGTAAAACATGTGATCCAAAACTCCCTGAAAATAAAATGGGTAATTAAATCCATTTAACATGCTCAAGTTAAGATTCCTTTGAGTTCCAGTGTTAGTACGCATAAATAGTATACACATATTAAATGTGAGTGTACATTTCACTGTCCTCCACAAACACGGTTTGTTAAGTAAAAATAAAATAATACATGCGAGGTTATATAAAAAATTTTTTTTTTTAAAAAAAAAAGCAGTTTGAAGTGGTCCAGACAGACAAACAGGAAATAGAAAAGTGGCAGTGATGATTGTGGTTTATTCATGGCTCACTTTCATTTGACTTAAGTAACCAGTGGTTCTTAATGTTCAGGGACATGTTCCCTTATCGAGGAGAGTGTTTTGTCAACCTGAATGTTCCCACTGACATATCACCACTAACGACAGGAGCAGAAGCTCTTCCTGGAAAGCACAGGTCAAATAACAGCCAGAACACATATTCATTATAAGATAACTGTTATTATCACATATTGGAAAAAATAGAAGCGTGATAAAAAAAGCTCTCAACCAAACAAAAACAAAAGGGAAACTGTCTCAAAACTAAAAACTGCATTTTGAGCTTTTGATTAATGTTCCATGCGCATCATCTCTGACAAACTAACAAACCGTCACTGCCTCTCGTCTACAGAGAGTGAAGGAGGAATTGAACGGACAAACTTACCTCGGTTTTTCTGATGGTGTACAACAGACAGCGTAACAACAACATACATCTACTTTACCAGCAAGGAAATGTCTGTTTGTCTCTACGTTAGGTTTCAAGTTGAAGTTAACTCAACTCCAAGCTCCAGAAAAATGCAGTAAGGAGGTTAATATGTTTTTGTTCAACTACTGTGTCACTCCCTAAACTTGTTACGTTTCAAATCTTTGCAGTTATTCATTTTTATTAACTTACAATATGCGTGTTTTTTTCCACATCATTAACATGTGAATACAGTGTAAACTTACTTTGTCTGAGAACCACAGAAGGTTGGACTCTTTGTAATAAGTGAACATCCCATACACAGGATCCATCAGCTCCTTCAACAGCAGCAGGAAGAACTCTTTAGTTACTCCACCTGCATCCACGGCCTCCTCTCCGTCAAAGATCACCTGGATGGAGGGAGGAGGAGAGGAGCAGATCACAAAAAAGTACAGCAGTTTGTTCTGTATTTATCAAAACCACAGAGATCTTCAAAAGCTTAGACGTAGCTCTCACCTTGAGCGGTTTCTTGAGGTCCACATCAGAGTACACGGTGAGCTCTCGCAGTGTGTCGCTTACTAAATGGTTCCTGCGCACATGCAGCACCAAGTAAGGGTTCCGAGCAAGATGGGGTTCCAGCGTGAGCAGCATAAAGACGTTGTGTAGGTTTGCCCCGCTTACTGCCATCTGGGTAACGTTCACGGGTTGAGGTGGGGAAAAGGCAAGAGAAGAGAGTCAAATTCAAAGAGATAATTATGGGACATTAACTGAGAACAATCAAATGAAATTGGTGAACTGTGCGAAACCACAAGATCACTTGTGATCATCAGCAGCAGGTACCTGCATTTGCAGTTCAGCGTCGGTTTGCAACATGGTTGTCTTGGCTTGAGCGTTCAGTATGAACGGGTAGGCACAGAGGTTCACTGAGGGAAAGTCACCCTGCAGGGAAAATTAGGAAATATACTTACTACTATGTATACTCTCATAACATTAAAAAAAAAAATGTATATAATATGCAATTCTAAATCAGGTACCTGTGAAGGGGAGGATGATTGTTTCTGGGGGAAAAAATGAGAGAAAGCAAAGTCATTTGACATGACTTAAAGTGAAAAAAGTTCAAGAGCAGCAGCTCTTATATTATGAAACTAAATCCATCCATTGTCAAAGTAGTTAAAGGGGCTCGTCTGCGAACTAAGACACTTATTGGACAGCAAGAACTGACAAACAGCGATAAGATAAAACACTGAGACTGACATGAGTTAAGAGTCTGTGTGTGTGTGTGTCTTCAGCAGATATCAAGTAACGAGAAAGTGAAATATTATCAGGGAATGTCAGTACTCACAATGTCCGCTTTACTCAGAAACCATTTGAGGTAGTCTTCCTGGATGTCCACCAGGCTGGTGATGTCAGGGATATAAAAGCGGTTGTAATCCACATGGTGGGCCTTTAAGTTTACCTGGCGACATGGAATAAAAACACCTAACTCAACACAGTAGTCAACGGTTTATCTCAATAGCTACCAAACAGGGAAAAACACATTTCCTCCTCAGACTGCGCTGAGGGAGAATCGGTGGCTTGCTTACAGGAGCAGCAGGTGAGCTGTGTGGATACCTTGTGGAGTTTCTCCAGCAGCCTTAGAGTGGCGACAAAATAGTTCTCGTGGAAAACCGGTACGAGCAGCGCCTTGCCTCCCGTTAGCATGAACACAATGATGCTCTTGTACATGTCGACCATTCTGGTGAACACGCCGCCGTCCAAAAAACACCACCAGTTATCTGCAGGGACGGAGAAAAAATGTGGAATTAAATTATAGAGCAAGTAACTCGAACAAAAAACAGACGGTATTTTACTACAACCACAAGCTATAAAGAGAGTTTCTTTGTTGATCAGTCAGTGTTTTTGAACGTTTCTAAATGTAAATGTGTTTGTGTTGTAGCACATTTATGAGAGGCTGTACATAAGCAGGGTCCACAGACTGTTTGTAATCTGTATTTAAAGTATCAGTATGCTGATGGAACAAAAGTTCAAACAGCATCTTAAACACCCTCACCGCCACACTTTCCGACATAGCGCTTAGAGGATCTGGGGACGATCCAACATTTATGCCCACTTCACGCAGTGTTTGAGGTGTGAAAGTAAAGTGTATCAAGTTCGACGTCATTTCAACTCCCAAAGATCTCAGCAACGAAGAAGGCATCATCATGGTGCTTTGTTTCAAGTTGGACAAAAGCAGAGTTCTTTTGCTGTGTGGCAAACGGTTTCTTGTTTTTGATTCCCCTTAAACTAAAAGGCTCTTGACCCGCTACCAACTAAACCTTGTATCGTCTGATTTTGAGGACTTCTGATTTTCCCAAATACTAATATCGGCCTCAGAAATCCATCAGTCAGTTTCATGCATTTCTGGAACCATTTTCTAGTTTGGTAGAGTACTTAAATGTCGTGATCACAGGCTGAGCAAAGGTGACACGGATGTGGATGAGGATGCAGACGTAATGTAGATGAGTGTGATGTGGCGTGATAGTGTCACAGGTTGTTGACATGACTTCACCATTTGAAATCACTTAGAGCGATATAAAAAAAAAAAAAAATGTTTTAATTGTTGCGAGTACATGCAAGTATGGTACCCAATACTTTGCTGGGGTTGGCATCAAGCCGGAGGATGGCCATTGCCAGGGGGATAGTGAGGCGGATGTAGTTCTTGGAGTCAAACAGGGCCGGGTACTCAGACAAGATGAGGTAGATCCTCATGGCCTCAACGTCAGGAGGGGAGCGTGGCAGCTGAGGGATCAACAGACTCTCAAAACTCTTGCTGGCCTAAACGGAGTCGGACACAGAACAAGGGAGGACATGTTTAACAGATTGTTTGTATATATAAAAATTTTGGGAGAGGCTTTTAGTGGTTTGGAATGTGGCCTCGGTGTCATGTTGGGTTGAGGAGCATCGTGATCCCCAAACCTATGATTACTGAGCTACGGTTAGAGGTTATGACTCAATCCATGAGAATACAGCAGCACTTGATGTACTTTCAAAGCCAGCCCAATATTCACATATGAATATGTTCTTGTTACCACAAGCTAGTAATCCAGTGCTGTGTAACAACCCCAGATTTCCTACTTGAACTGCTGTATTATGGTGACAGAAACCCAAACAGGAAGCTAGTTTGAGTATTTACTTAATAACACACTTGAGTCATGTCAAGAAGAGTAGAAAAGAGAAACATGTTATTACCTTTTTTACATTCTTGAATACACTTTTAGTTAATACCTGTTCCAGAAGTCCAGAGAAAGCCGGTTTGCTGAGCGTCTCAAATAGCTTTCTGACAGAGTTGAGATCGATACCTGGGATCTTTGGGTTGGTTTTGAAGTGGGTATCGTCACTAAGAAGGCAAACATACACATGATTATGTTAACCATCTATGATGTCTCAGTGATTACTAACGGGATCGAAATAGGGCAGAGCTCAGATTCACGGACTTTGAGGCAAAGCCTTGATGTTAAAGGCTCACGTTACTTTGGATTAAACGCCAACGGTTAGGTAAACACACAGCCTAAAGATATTTAAGTCAATCCCTAAGCAGATCTCCTCTTCGGCCTGAGAGACCCGAGGATAGCGAGTACAGACCAATGCACAAAGCCAACAAAACCCCCTCAGCATGAACGACAGCGATTATTTACAGCGTAAGCCTTCATATTCCTGACGCACAGGATTTATTTAGTCATAACACAAATACATCAGATCTGTTCTTGTGGAGACTGTTTGCCAAACAAAGAAACACTGATGCAGATAGTACATCAAGTACAATCCCTGACCCACGTTATTTTGAGAACTCCGTGAGCTTAAAAAAAAAAAAAAAAAAGCCAGAGAAGCAATTCTGGGGCCCAAACGTAACAAGTACAATGAAAATGACGACACTTCAAACACGAAACCAGTTTAACTACAGCCTCCCGAACTACAGTTTAGGCACACTTATTTGCTGACCATGTTTGAATGCATGTTATACAGTTTTATTCATGCATTTATGACGTATTTTTATTCCTACAGTTCCAGTCAAACATTGTTTCCATGTGGTATAAAAATCAATTAACTGGCTAAAATGAACACAAACCAGCTCAAGGGTTAGCTGTAATGTAAAGTGTATCTGCTTTGTAGTAAAATATACAAAAGCAACTTTTAACTAAAGCTTTAAAATAAATGTAGTGGGGTAAAACATAATGTTGTGCCTCTGAAATGTAGTTGAGAAGAAGTATAAAGTAGCAGAAAATAGAAAAACCTCTAAATTGTACTTAAGTACAGTACTTGAGTAAATGTACGGAGTTACTTTGGACCATCTTACTGGTTTAATGTGAAACCTGGTTGATAGTTTCAGTGACTACTAATCTCTGATGACTTTCAGCAGACAGTAGAGTCTGAAGTACTTTAGGTCGTCTCCAGACGTCTGTTTTCCACCCCGATGGCCTCCACTGTTCATTCCCTGGACGCGATAAATATCTGCTGATGAGTCTGTACTAAAAAGCCAACATACCTTCACACACAGTGACGGTCAGAGAAATCAGTCAGCGACCAAACAGATAGCATCTGTCCCAACCCCGACGATCAGCATCTTTTGGTGGATAAGACGACGCGCCATGAAGGGGACCCTGTGAGGTCCCTGCTGAATCAGTTCGCAGGAGTCGAGCTTTCATAAGAGTCTAAAAGATCCTCTGAATATTTTTGGCAAAACACACGGTGGATGTACAGACCAGGTAAAGGGATACCCCTCAGAAAACCTTTTTATGTATGCTATACTTGTTATATTTCAGTTTGATAACACATTCTTCAACCAGTCAACACAGCAAAACAGATATTCTGAGACCATTTTGCTGTGAGAAAAGAGAAACATCTGTCTCTAGCCTGTACGAAGGCCTTCGCTTTCCCTTCAAGACCGCAGATATTTGTTTCATCTACAGTCCTGAACCCAAGCGCACCAACGTGAGGCTGTTAAGCAATATATCAACTCTATATTTGTTCAATTTGTCCTTACAGTCCATCTTTTGTGCTTTATACTTTTACCATTTGATGCTTTAAACGTCTGTTTCCTCACAGTCATCTCTGGGTACTTTTACTTTCTTTTTGTCATTTTAAACCTTCCAATGGTGGAAGAAGTAGTATTCGGATCTATTATACAAGTAAACGTACAGAAGTATTATTCACAAAATGTATCAAAAGTAAAACACACATTCTGCAGAAAAATGGCCCCTGACTGGCATATGAATTATATATTTTATAATATATTGATCAATCGAGGTGGAGCTACAACTTTACATGCAGTGAAGAAGTTAAGTCAAGTGGGTTCCCTCCAAAGGGTCACCAGATAAATCTTAGCAGTAGTGAGATAAAAATGGGAGAGGACTGAAGAAGTTCTGCTACAAAACTCAGTGGTACATCTACTCTAACTTTGATTTGCATTGTATTTTATAAGATTACCATGTGTTTTTTTTATCAAATCTAAACCTGAAAAGTAATTAGCAACTGCAGCTGTCAAAGTGGAGTGGCAATATTTCCCACTAAAATGTAGAGGAGTAAAATTCTAAAGTAGCAGAAAATGAAACTTCTTAATCTGAAATGTAAAATACAAATACTTCTAAATTTTATTCGATACAGCACTTGAGTCGAGTACTTAATTACTTTTGTAAACATGGCGTTCACGTACCTTTGGTCCAAAAAGCTGGCGTTCCAACAAGCCGTAGAGGAGAGTTGAATTAGAATGTCACTGAGCACAAAAACATAAAACAGTCTCACTGTGAGAAATGTTTGACCAACGAGAACAGAGACCATTCAAATAGAATTGATTGAACATAATCAAGTAAAACCACTACTAACACTAAACATCTACAAGATAATGTACAGGTTTTACGTGCATTATATACCGTTCAATCCAATGCATTCAAAATAATAACCTGAATTATTCAACTTACTTTGTGACACTGGAATCTGTGCTGCACATCAGCTTTAACCTCCATGAGTTTAATCTTTCATAATTGATTGGAGAGATTGATTTACTGACATGAATGACTCTGAAGTCTTCTGGGGGGACAGAACTCTGCAGAGAGGAGGACAAGCAGAGACCAGATAACAGCGCAAACATTTGGCAGATTGTTTGCATTTGGGGCTTTCGGCAGTTGCGTCTCTTTCCTGCTTGAAGATAAAAACAAATAGGCCACACCCTCAGTCTAAATATTTTGCAGTAGAGGCTGAATGTGTGTTATGTCTTTATCAGAGCACAGTCCTGGCAATTTGCTGGATATTTGTGGCAGACAATTGCTCCATATACAGTAAGGCTCATTATTAAAGAACTGGTCAAAGATTACACATTAATGCCACCCTGTGGTGAAACACTGAAACTGATTTAATGGAAAGCCTAAACTTTTGGGGGTATTTTTGTAATATGAAGCTGCATTTTTTTTTAAATTGTTTGTGTTATAATTATGATTTGATTAAGGTTTTTGTTGAAGGTTTAGTGCAGACGGTAATGTATCGAGTGGACTGGAGATTTCTCTTATCCTCATTAGTTTAATTTCATGAGACACTTGATTTGCCCTTTGCATGACACGTTTCATCGTGTTTTCTAACTTTAAGTGAGCCAGTATGTGTGCAGTTGAATTGCAATGCTGCAAAAAAATGATGATATTTTGATAATTAGGCTGTGAATTCTGTCATTAAATAACTGTGACAGCAATCAACAGGACTAAAAGTCAAACTTTTCAAGACAGATTTGAAGTCAACTAATGCAAATACAACAATAATAATAATAATAATTATAATAATAATAATAATAATAATTCAGGTAACAAAGTTGAGTGAGAGAAGGTTACTGAAATCTTAATTGTTGTCACCTACCTGGTCATTAGAGTACAATAGGAAGCTATGGTCTCCTCCACAGATGATTTTAGTCACTGTATATTGTTTCGATTAGAAAAAGAAAGGAAAGAGAAACAGTTAGCAACATTTTACAACAGTTAATCAAATAGTTACCGAGAGTAGTTGTATTTCTTGCTTATTTTATTATACAGTAGAACATTTTCCACTGCATTTGTATGAAGTTATTCTTTACAAATGAACATGACCATGAGTATACTGCTGACACATAGTTATGAATTATAAAAGATAATATACCGTGAATGCAATGATCAACATTGAATCTTCTTAAAATAGTTTTCATAGTCATCTTCCAGCCTGAAAAATGTTCTCCTATGACAGACACTAGATTATATTATCAACAAACACATTAACACTACAAGCTGAACACTGATCATTCAAACAACACAAACTACGGTGCATTTTACAAGTACCGTTTCATTATTTGTCATAGCTGACTTTTATTACAGCTTACAACTGTACATCAGCAGTGCCACACCCAAGTGATTCGAAAAAAGCCATTTCATCCACACTCATGCATACAGTTAAGTGAGCACAGAGTCTTCTGCTTACCTGTTCTATAGGAATTTCCAGTCAGGAAACTGGCCTTCACAGGAAGCGGGCTACTGGCGTCCCCCAGTAGTCCTGTGCCCAGCTGGCCATGGCTGTTACAACCAAATGCGTACACCACATCAGAGGAAGGCACAAACGCCAACGTGTGGTGCCTGACAAAAGGGGAAAAAGAGCAAGCTTTAGGATTCAGAGGGACAGAAGCAGCCTCTAATACACCGAGTTCATCAGATACATGATACAGATACTGTGATTCAAGACAATCCAATCTCCCGCAACTTAATTTGTGATCTTCTGATCTTTAGTTTTGTTGATACTGTTTAACTTTGAAATACTTTTAAAGTTAAAGCAGAAGAAATAAAATGACCAGTAACTACATCCTAAAAAAATGACAATAAAGATTAATCAACACCTTTTCTGAAACAGTTTAAGCTTCAACAAAGATTTCTAATTGCATCAGAATGTACAGGTGTACCAAGTGAACCAGTGAGCAGGTTTACCTGCCACAGGTGATCTGGGACACTTCAGTGCCCATGAGCTCCAGCACTCGTCTGGGTAGAAGTTCATTATTGGTGGAGCCATGACCCAGCTGACCCCACAAGCCTTCGCCAAACGTGAACAAGCCGCCATCCTGCCAGAGACGCAACACAGAATGAATTTGCTGTTGGGGACAGAGATTCTTGGCATAGTAATGCAGTTATTCAAAGTTAAACTCCAGGACCGTGTGTCGAGGTGTTGGATTAAGATTCGTTAGAGTTAGGCCGTCCGGCTGGAATAAGATTTAGATTTGTCTTTGCAATAACGGTCACGTGCAACACGTAGTGGATTACTATAAAGCAAGAATACTCTAACTGATAACCCAAGTATAAGACAGCAACTAACAATACTGGCCTATGTAACATTTGGTGGCAAAATACTGTCATATTATGTGGGTTGTTTATCTGTATTCGTACCTTTGTGAGAGCTGCTGTATGTTCATTTCCACAGCTGATATAACAAACTTTTTGAGATCTCAAAAATTTGATGTGGCACGGGACAGCTCGATCTGAGGAGTGGAACAGAAACAAGCAAAGGTCACACTGTATTAAACCATTTGAAGTATTTACAAATGAGCGGTACGACTTCGGGGAACATGGCAACTTCTGCATTTGACTCTAGTATTGTCACCTGGGACTTCACCGTCCTCCTGGCTCCGTTCTATCCAGCTCATTATTACCTTGTTTATCATTGAGACCAAGTTGTCCAGCTCTGTTTTTGCCCCAACCAAACACAGCTCCGGACAAGGAGAGAGCAAAGCTGTGGTCTCCCCCAGCGGTTATCTGTGCCAAAGGAATACCCGACAGAGACTTCAGGGGATGAGGGAACAGCTTGCTGGACTCTCCTTTCCCGAGACCGAGCTGGCCGCTGGTGTTCTGGCCCCACGTGAACAGCTGCCCATCTGAGAGGGAAAAGGACAGAGAAGCAAAAGTAGGTTACTGTTCATCTACACCAATTACTGCCAGTACAGGCAAATATACACGTGTTTGGTAATGTGGGACTGGTTGCTAAAATGCACAACATGAATCTGCAACATCTCTCAGGTACCCCTCTGTTTCTCTCCAATCTGTCTCACTGTCACTGTGAAATAAAGGCAAGATGCCAAAAAATGGCCATAAGAAAATTACAAATGGGTAAAAAAAAAAGTCAATGGCTGTGTCCAAAATATAATTTCCTATGTAGTGTCCTACATTTGCTCTCTGCCATTTTAATTCAGTGTCAGTATTCTGAGATAAATCAAATATTAAAAGGAAAGAATAACCTTCTCAACATCGGACGCATTTTCTTTCAATTTGTCTGCCTGTCGTGATTTCCAAATTAATTTGATTGTGAACAAATTACAGCGTGTATAGTATTTTTTGGGGGCACGTTTGCTCAACTGACAGCCTATCACAATAACCCTACCCCAACCATGTGCTCAGAAGAGATTGTGTCTGGCATACCTCTAGAAAGTGCAATGCAATGCTGATTCCCACACATTACTTGAGAGATCCGCTGTTCACACAGCCTTTTGACCAACCTGAGGGGGGGAAAAAACATTTGTTAATCAAACTATAAAACAAGTCTAGAAAATTACAAATAACAGTCAAACTTTAGTTCTCTTTTTATCAGTTGTCAGGAGACATCATTAAATGCCACCATAGTAAGGTGTCCAGGAGTAAGGGACCTAACTTAGAAGTCAGTTTTTAATTTCAGGAAAATTTGCAATTCATAACAGACGAGTCTCTGAGCTAACCCTAAGAAACTACTTTATAGTCTAAAGGTTTCACCATCCTAAAGCATGCATCCGAATAGTTATTTCATAAGAACAGAATAATTCATGGCATTGCTATTTTGGATTATCAGCGGTAATGCTTATATTCAAACCTCCAATTCCCTTTAACGTCATTTTCTTGTAGTGTTTTTTTTTTTTTTTTTTTTTTTTCCCTCTTGTCAGGCTAAAAGCTTGAATTCCTCCATGATGGTCTACTCGCTCACCTTGGGATTCGAACAGCCGCCTCTGCAGTCCCCAGGCCGAGTTGGCCCCCTTCACCAGCTCCCCACGCAAACACTTGACCCTGCTCATTCACCGCCATTGAATGGAACCGACCACTCGACACCGTTGTTATCGTCTGAGTATCCAGAGCTCCTACAAGCTCTGTGGAGAGGAAGAGGCAGAGCGTCAGACGTAGATCTTAGTATGTAGAGAGAGGATGCAAATGCACTGATTTTTCACTTTTCAAGCTACAATCTCATTTGGTATGCAAATGAAAATGGCAAATGGTATTAAATATAAATTTCAGACTGTGGCCTTCTCTCCGTGAAATACTATGTGTCACACCACAGAAAATAGAGAAATGCAGCCAGAAGCACATGTGAGGAGGACACAGTGCAGATTGGTGTGTGGTTTCCTGCTATAAAACTGTTTTATCTTAGAAGATCAACTGGGTTAGAAGCTACAATTGCCTAGAAGATTTTCAAATACCTAATAACTCTGGTAATGTTTCAATTGAGCTTATTCTTCAATAATATTTGAAAACATTTGAATCAGTAATCTACATATTGTAGGCGTATTAAAAAGATATATTCAAGTAAATAAACATGCCTGATGAAGGCCCAAAGCATGATGAAGTATCAAGTTTCTTCAAGAACCTTTTATTGAATAGGTCTATATATTTGCTCGAGTTCCAATGATTCCTGCATTTATTCATTGTTGTTAAAGCTTCACCCACATGCCGAGACAAAGTAACACAAACTTCCTCCCACATGACACCAACACAGTCCCACCACTGTCTGCAATCACTTCACAAGCCATGAGAGTGTTTCACATCTCCTAGAATTGGTAATGAACCCTCTCAGAAATGGAAGCACTTGTGTGTAAACACGGACACTCTGCACAGTTTGCTTTGCATTTAGACTCAATGTATAACACACGACTACATGAAGTCCATTAGTTGAGGAATGAAGCTTATGATATTGCAACATGTTTGCTCATGCTTTTGTAGGCGTCATCCAGATCTTGTGATATCTAGCAGCTTTAAAAACAAGACAAACTTGCTATGACCTGCAAGATATTTCACTGCATTTTCAGAAACCTTCATCAGTTTTACACAAAAATGGTGTTTATCTAGAAAATTATAATGTTGGAACCACGACATCAAGAGATATTCTCACACAAAGGGTGCAACTACCACAGAAAGTCCAGCTGCACCTGTAATATGTCTTTTGGTTGAATACGTTTTTACAATTCACATGTTCAAGTCCCTTATGTATGTGAGATTTGAATAAAAAAAAGGTATACAAGTTAGTACTTTTAGCTAAATGCTCACTAGGACAATGCTATTATTTAGCAGGTACAATGTTTACCATCTTCTATTGGTGTGTTAGCATGCTAATATTAGCATGATCTGTTTTTTTTAGTGCCTTTGTAAACACACCGTGTCATGCGAACCCACAGTCTGGGTAACTTTCCACTCACACCTACTGAAAGCAGTGCAGCAGGGTGGTGCAACATTACGTAATGATTAATCAAAAGGGTCAGGGAATATGCCGTTTATGACGAAGGCTTACCTGGGGAGGTCCCCGGTTTGCTGTGGCCCAGCTGTCCACAGCTGTTAGAACCACAGGTGTACACACTACCATCATGCAGCAGGAACATGGAGTGTTGACCCCCACAAGCTACTTCTTTCAGTCCCCTGCCACTGAACACATGACAGTTCCTCGGCTCAAACATGAGGTTTCTCTCCATACCAATACCCAGCTGTCCGTCTTTTGCATTACCCCAACAAAGCATGTTGACAAAGGGAAGAGGGGATGAGCACCAATCTGAAGAGGCAGAGAGAGCGATGGCCAGATGGAGGAAGACAACAAAATGTTCAGACTTTAGAGCAGCCCCGCTTTCTCCTCTTCATGTAAAGTCCAACCCTGGAAGAAACAAAACATGTTTTATTTCTGTCATCTTTTAAGAAGAAACTATTGGTTTAGAGGTGTGGCTGTGTGTGAGAATGATGTAAGCTGTATGACAGAAGAACAGGGCAGTGTGCTTAAATAAACTCCCAGTGTAATCCCTGCTTAAGCAGCTCCACGCAGTCTTGCCTTACCGTCAACCCACATGCAATGCAATACATGCATGTTACTGACAGAGTTAGCCATGAGAAATAAACAAATGGGAATGGAACACAATAAGAAAAAACAAATGTGCCATAAATTAGGAGACAAAAACAATATAATCAGGTGAAAGTAGCATGAACATGAAGTCAAGGATCTGTCACCTTATCAAATTCATTAGAAGCTATAAAACTAGGATAGCCAAATAAATTCATAACAAGGAGAAACACAGCTACACTTCAGACTTTGATCACTTTTCTGTCTGTGTTTGAAAGTTGTTTGCCGTTTGTTTCCACTGATTTGCATGAACAAAAATATCCATTATTTCTAATATTTGCTGGATTTCTTAGTCCTTCTACGTAAATTGAATATCTTTTAGTTTTAGACTGTTGGTCAGACCGAACAATCAGTTTGAAGATGTCAACTTGAGCTCTAGGAAGTTGTGATGGGCATGTTCCTGCATTTTATAGACATAAAGATACATTGAGAAAAGAACTGTCAGATAACAACAACAACCAGAATAAATGTTTATTGTTAGACCCATTTGTGATGTTTAGTTTTTGTTCAAACTAAATATTTTAAACACCTCTCAGTATTTAGCACTTTGTTAGTAATTTTCTTGCTATTTTATTAACATGTTCACACGATTGTTCTTACTATTTTATGTTTGTAAAGCATATAGCAACAAAACATAATAATTAGTAGTAGTATTACCTAATGCAATAAAACTCAACATTCTGCAGCCTCTAAAATGACCATGAAGTTGAATTAACTATCAAAGATTCTCTACAGTTTTAATTAAAAACTGAACATTACAACCTTCCTGAGGGAAGGTGGGCTGTTGTATTATTGGACTGAATTTTTACATAACAATAACAGCACAATTAGTAAACACTAGGAGACTGTTTGAATGCATGTTTATTGTCTGTGGTTTGCTGTTATTATTTAGCAACTTAGATGGTCCACAGGTCAGGATCTGTACCGACGTGTATTTAAGGTTACGTTAGCTTGCTGTTGGGGAGAAAGTAAAGAGGAGTGGCCTGCGTTGTGTAGACATAATCACAGTACGCAGGAGTAGCTAAATATCTCAAAAATATCTAACTGATGTAATCTTGATTAAACAGTAAATTAATGGAACCAAATCAGACGGTTTGATGACCCACACGAGCTGTTAATAGTTCATAGTTAGCTATTTAACCTTAGCAAGCTACAGCAACGCTGGCTGTCAGAGTAATGGCTAAATACACAGAGATCCACTGGTTCACCGATGTCTCAATTGTGAGTAAAACAGTGTTGCAACACTGCAGGGTGATAACCAAAATCAAAAGAGGTGTTTACCTGGATAGATGCATTCTGAATTTGGGAGTCCGGTTTCGGTTCTGCTCAGAAAACAAACAAGGAAGTACGAAGTACCACCGCTGCTACGTCACCGGGAGTTTAAGTGAGGAAAGCAGCAATTGGCCTGCCAATCAGGAAGTGCTGGTTACAACCAGAGCCGTTTAACGAGAGTCACGTCATCTCCGATCACCCCGATGGACCATTTTTTCACAGCAATGGCGGCTCGTAGAGCCTCACTGCGGTTTGGGTGGCAGACACTCGGATCTCCGTGGTCAAATCAGCAAACACTGAAATTTTAGTGCACCTATATACTGAAATACAAACGCATTCGAGCGAGCGAGGGACCTCACGAAGTTAGCGGAATGATCGACGTGAGACAACATCCGGTTTTCAGAATAAGATGTCAACAAAGTGTATATACAAATTGTATATATGGAAATAAGATTAAATGAATTACATTCACATTAAGTAAAACATATGTTACCTGCTTCTCAGGAGTTAAAGAGAAAATACAACCAAATTGTGCATGAAGTGTCTTTATTCTTTGATTTGAGGGTTGCTGGAAAGATAATTAAATGAATAATATCTGATTGACTGATATGTGTTCCACATTGAAGGCATTGTAACCTACTTAATCAGTGTGAGAGTGTGAACGTGACCTGCAATTTCTGGAAGTACTCAGCCAGAATCTGGTATATTCATCTCTACCTATAATAAATTATCTGCCTATATGTATGATAAACATTCATCATACATCTGACAAAATGTCTTCTCGTTTCACCTTTGTTTCAGAAGTAACCAAGCAGAAAAAGACAGCCAGGTCCCACAGTCCAGGTGAACCTGTGACATGTTCTCATGAGCTTAAAAGGGGGTTCTACCTGTTAGCTGGTCATCTGGTATTTTCACCTGTCCAACACAAATGCTTTATGATATGAGTAAAATAAAACTGAAATGCAATTACCAGTATGGGTGGAGTCAGATATGTCCTGAAAAGACATATACCAGTCATTGTGTGGAATTATTGATTTTTATAGCACCTCAAATATTCAGTAATTTACTCTTTGAACGTTCAAATGTAGGACTTTTAATTTGGAAAACCTCTTAATTGGCAGAATAAAAATGTTTGATTTTCAGTATAGGTGGAGTCCTGAAAACAAATACGTCAGTCATTGCCTGGAATTATTAAGAAAAGTATTTCTATAGCATCCTAAAAGATTGTGAAATGTTTTGTTAGAAATGTTGGACTTTTACTTTGGAAAATTTCTTAATTGGTACAGTAAAAATGTTTCATTTTTAGTACGGGTGGAGTCAGAGATGTCCTGAACCCATATGCATCAGTCATTGTCTGGAATTATTGAGAAAACTCTTTTTATAGCACCTTACATTCAGTTATTAGATATTTTTTGGAACAAATGTATAGGAATTTTACTTTGGAAAACCTCTTTAATGGTACAGTAAGATTGTTTGATTTTCTGTATATGTGTAGTCAGAGATGTCCTGAAAACAAATATGTCAGTCATTGCCTGGAATTATTTTAAATAGTCAATAACATTTTCATTCAGTGTTGTTTTCCCCATCCATCCAAAGATGCACTTTATGGTTCCCTCTATAGATCAGCCTTGGCTAAATATATTGAAAACCAGTTTAGTAATAGTGTTTGATGTCAATTCAAACTAGATTGCCTTTTTAGTTTAGAGGGTATGATTTTAAAAAAAATCATATTTATTTTTGTTATTATCTACTCAAGATGTTCCTCGTTGCAGTGTGTTGTTACATTTTGTAAAGAGGTAAAAATGACACACAGTATGGTTTGCATTTTTACCTTGTCATCTGCAGTGCCTTCATCATTTCAAATGTTGATTGTGAAAAGAAATGTTATGTTTTTGTACAAAAATAAAATGAGCACTAAAGTCCAATAAAAAAAGGTGTTTGGAGTCACTGGGTCACATTACCCTGAAGCGATAAAGGGGTAGTGAGGTAGAAACATTCAGGCCTCAAATTACTTATATAATATAAATACAATGCTTCTCTGGTTCGCTGCAGGATGCCAAAATTACCAATTACTGAATGGTGCCTTTACATGTCATTCATCGTCGACCAATCACCTGATATGTGGGCGGGGCTTTGGGCGGGGCTCTGGGCGTCACCACACAACCTATGGATGTAACAGTGGGCGTAGAGGCTTCTCGGCTGCTGATTGGCGCGGTCACATCTTAAGCTGTGTTTGATAACTTTGAGGATCCAAAACATTCGGAGGAGGAGACGAGGACGGCCGGCACAGCACAGGTTTTGAAGGCAGTTAATAGCGAGGTCTTTTCTGAAAACCTAAACTAAAAGCGTGCTAAGGAAACTAAAATATCAAAGGTACGATTTTTAGTCAACACACCACTGAAAGGTCAAAGGATTGTCTCGTTAATGTTGGACCGAGTGTGAACTTCTAGCTAATGCTAGCCAGCTAGCTAGCTAGTCAGCTAAATATAGCCATCGTTATGGTAGCTAGTTAGCTAACGTTAGTCAATGCCAACGCCGCCGAACGTTAAACGTTTGTCCAATAACTAGCTGTATGTTATTTATGACGATTGAAGTATTCATACTGAAACACGGGAACGCCATATTTGGGACTTTTTGTTTTTATTATCGGGATGTTGTTGTATCGTTAGCGCGAGCAGCTTTGTGGCTGAAGAGTTGCATCATTGCTGTAACGTCAATCTTAACGTTACTTTAAAATGTAACTTGATGTAACGCTACTGCTGTATTCATGTGAGTCTTGTTGGATAGAAAGGTTGTGCACTGATTGTTTAAATTATTGTATTATATTCATTATTATTACCTGATTGTATTCAAATGTTATGTAAACATCAGCAATGTTTGTAAATACATTAATTAAACTGTTTCTTTCATAAGAATATAATTTAATTCATGATAAATTGATAAGTGATTATTTTCCATTTGAAAAATCTAGTCAGATTTGAAAGATGTGAGCTCAAGACCTATGGGTTTTTTTTTTAAAGTATTTGTGTCATATTTACCTGTTTTTACCTTTCATAGAGATAAGAGGAACTAAAGCATTTGTCTAATGATTTCTAGTTTGAAGAATAGCTACAAATAGCTGATAAATTTGAGACATTCTGGTACTTTGGGCTCTCCTGAACAAACAGTTTTTTGTAACGTTCATTAGAATTCTGCATCTTTTCTAACTAACCTTCCCCCTCATTGTCTTCGGACAGCAAATCCCTCTACCTCTGCATCCAGTGCTTCTCCAGTGTGTGTGCTATCGGGGTGATGTCAGCAGCCTTTCTCGGGCGCCTGGCAAGGTGCAGTGGTGCCCATGTGGGACGCAGTGGTCTTTTACAGATGGCCCTAGTCCCACTCTCATTCCAGCAGATCAGCCACCCCCAGTTCACCATCTTCCAGAGACAACTTTACAGCCCTTCGGGAAAACTGCACAGCAACACACGCTTTGATGCGGACAGCAGCGGCTGCCCCACTACCTGGGATTCATTCGGCATCTGGGACGATCGTATTGATGAGCCCATTCTGCTGCCTTCCAGTATTCGCTACGGCAAGCCCATTCCCAAAGTCAGCCTATCCAGGGTAGGCTGTTCCTCACTCATCGCTCAACGCAAGGAGAATGAAGACCGCTTCCAGGTCTCCCAAATGACCGACAACATCCTTTACTTTGCTGTGTTTGATGGGCACGGCGGGCCAGAAGCAGCGGACTTTTGTGAAAAATACATGGAAAAATTCATCAAGTAAGGAGTTCATTAAATATGCTGTCTATACCAGAGGAAACATATTTACTGATCAACAACTTCTTTTTTTTGTAGCCGTTATTCGGATGTAGTAACAATGTAGTATTTTGGTTGTTGTTTCAGGGACCTTGTGGAGGAGGAGTCCAACCTGGAAGCAGTTTTAACGAAGGCCTTCCTTGAAATAGACAAAGCTCTTGCAAGGCACTTGCACTTCTGTCCAAAGGGTAGGTTCATAGGCTTTCGTGTTACATGCACATAGATATACTTCTACACACCCATGTTTTCATGTAATGACACTTGTTTTCTTCTCTCTTAAAAACCTAACTTACTTATCCTACTTGGGCTCTGAAGCCTTGGAGTTTACAACTGTCATGACCCAAGCACTTTGGTTAGAGGTCTGTCATTTAACACAAAGTTACTCAATAACTGATGGATCAATAACCCAGCTACAAGCAGAGCAAACACCACTGCTTCACTGCACATTTACACGAACAGAAAGGCAACAAATTAAAGGAAAAACATTAGAGATTGTGTATATATAGATGGATAATGTATTTTCCCTTCCTCTCACTGTACGAAAGTAAAACCAAAATACCTAGACATGGAGCGGCCATCTTGCGCTTTTGATTTATTTATTTATTTAACCAGAGTCTGCGTGGCAGTGATGTCGAGGTCTCGCTTGTTAGCGTGAGCACCTTCTAGCTGCTGTGATGGAACATTTCTACTCTATGAACAATTCCTAAGCCTTCAGCTCCACGGCTGTAACTTCAGTCAGAGAAGTTGTCCGTTGCAGATGTCAATTATGATGCAACACACTTTTTAAAAATCAAATAACTGATAAAAAAAACTAACTTATCAGGAAAAGAATGAACACTTGAACTTACATCGGTGTGATAACAACTACCTAAATACACAGAAAGCATCTATGGGCGTGTATTTAGTTTTTTAAATATCTGAATCACATCCCATTGTCTTCATAGCCACCAGATCTCAGCCCAGTTTAACACCAGTGGGCGGTTGTGGGTTGGCGCGTTAGACGCTGCACTTCACCATCAGAAACGCCTCATGAGAGAATATCTTTTGAAAGAATGGCGTACACATCTTTCAGCAGAGGTCCTGGGACATCTATATTCTACACAAACAAACGCCGAAGCCTTTTCTAAAGTCTTGTTGTAGTCCGACACTTTACAAAGTCACTCAATGTTGTTTTTCCTTTAATTTGTCACCCGTCTGTTGATATTTTTGCCAATCTGCAACGTATATGTTTTGCACGGGCATTAAAAGTGATATAAGAATTTTTTTTTTTTTGTTTGTTTTTTGTTTTTTTTTTGTTTTTTTATTTAGGCACCACTTAAAGAAATTAATGCACAACATTTCTCTCCATGAGTCACGTGGTCTACTTGTTTGCAGTTGTCTTATAGAAACGTTTCAAATTAGGTTGACTTTTCTCAAACAGAATTATGTCTGATTTAAGGTTTATCTGTTAATATAAAAGCTAGTATACCTTTTAATGTGGCCATACATCGGCCACGCTGTGTGAAATGTCCCAATATGCCTGTGTGTGTGTGTGTGTGTGTGCGTGTTATCTACGGCAGCTGCTGACCCAGCTAAGAGCTGGAGGCCCTTGGCACCAATGTGGATGACGAGATGCTAGATATTGAAGGAGAGTCCAGCGGGTCCTAAATCCTGGACTACTGGAAGGTTCCCTATCTTTCTCTCACTCCGCTCTCTCTCTCTCTCTTCCCTTTGTTCTCTCACCAAGTGCTTCAGTTTGAGAAGTTGTATGAGTTGTATGTTGTCCCTGACATATCTAGTCTGAGATGCAGCATGTTTAAAATGCAGATTAGGCTAAAATCATTTATTTCTCTGGAGAAGGAAAAGGTGTAATGCAGACTGTAGTCTACAAATACGAGCCAATAAAACCACGCGATGCTGTTTTATCAAACCTGTCGTCCTTTAAGAAACTAAAGTTTAGCGTTTGTGTGTAGTTAAGTATTCTCCATATGCAAAGTTGACTAGAACCATGTTGCAGAGTTCAATGTTAAAGTGACATCTTACTGTTGGCCTGCATTAATAAGAATTGTTAGAAATGATTATTATTACCAAGTACTTGTATTTTATATCCCTTTCCTTGTGACAGATTAGTGGTTCATTTCTAACTGTAGATAACTGCATGCACAAAACAGAGGTAAAACAAACCACCCCTCTCAGGAAGTAATGAGAAAAGTAGAAGCGTGTGTTGTTTTCTTTTAGTTGTAGCCGTAACCTAACTCTCGGTTCAACCAGTTCAACCTGCATGTGTGACTTCCTCCTCTGTTGTTTACTACTGTAGTCTCTAGTTTGCTGTAAATCCACTCTATGACTTCCACCCTTGTGTTACTGTTTTATTGTGCGGATGCAAGATTGTGAGATACAGTTTGTGCTTGTTGCGATCAGTGACTTTATGTGTGAACTCTGCAGTGCGCCTGCCGGCTCTGATGGTTCCTTTTATGTCTCTGTAGTACCCGGCATGAATACAGGAAGCACCTCCACTGTGGCGCTGCTGAGGGACGGCATCGAGCTGGTGGTGGGCAGCGTGGGCGATAGCCGTGCCATGCTGTGCCGCAAGGGAAAGGCCCTTAAACTCACTGCCGACCACACTCCTGAGAGGAAGGATGAGAAAGAGAGGTACGAAGCTGTGGGGGGGTGATGCCACGTTGGTCAGTTTAGGCAAAGAACATCAGAGATGGTGGCATAAGATCAACAGTAAAGTATTACGGCTTTATTATGTGCGTATTCTCTGTTAATCGTTTACCATTATTAAGTTTTGGAGAAGGATATGGTTACTTTTTATTGAAAAAATAATTGCTTCTGTCAACTGAAGCCATTCTTCATGTGCCTTTCTCCCTCAAGGGTGAAGAGAAGTGGAGGTTTTATCACCTGGAACAGTCTGGGGCAGCCAAACGTCAACGGCAGGTTGGCGATGACGCGCAGCATCGGAGACTTCGACCTGAAGAGCACGGGAGTCATAGCCGAGCCTGAAACCAAGAGAATATCGGTAGGTTTTATACTAGTGTGTTTAGTCAAAATGTTTGATATTTGTTATTTGTACACTGGGCGTTTTAAGGTAATTTATACAGAAGAAGTTCTTCAGCTTCTCAACGCAAAGTACATTGAATCTTTTTGTTGTTAATAATGTAGGTACAATAACATAATGACAACACAGACTTGTGGTACAAATATGCTCAGTGTAATTATCATAACCTGCATCTCCACATTTATGTGCACATTTGACCTCCGTCTTAAATGTGATGATGTAAATATTACAATGAATATTGCACATCTGGATACATTCTTTATTGCTGCCCTCTTGTCTGCCAACCTGAATAACCACCGATGTGTCTCAATGTGTAAATATGTCTGTAAAGACACAGTCTAGCTATAAATGAGGTCTTATTTTAGGATTTAAACTCACCCCTAAGCTTTTGAGGGTTTTTTTTTTTTTTTTTTTTTTTTTTTTTCTAAATATTGTCTGGCCTTTCCTCAGTTGCACCATGCCCATGACGCGTTCCTGGCGCTGACCACAGACGGCATTAACTTCATCATGAACAGTCAGGAGATCTGCAACGTAATCAACCAGTGCCACGACCCCAAGGAGGCTGCTCAGAGAATATCTGACCAGGTGAGACGTTCACGCTTTGCTTTTAATGTGCCCGTAGTGAAACCAGTGTTTATTATCTTACCACCAGGTGTCGCACTTTGGCTCCACCAGAAACTCGGAGAAGCGGCTGGTCCCTAAAATGAGAATAGCTGATCCACATTTATGGTCCGCCCCCCTTTAAGTGCGCCTGAGCCTAAGTTGTTGGTGACTTCAGAGCGAACCCACTTCACTTTAATCGTCAGGCGGGCAAGCAAGACACGTGAACGTGGCTTGAGGAGTTGTAGTTTTGTACACATGCTGCACTGCTACGTTCACAGGCCTGCTGAAATGTGGTTTCCTTTTTCTCTTTTAGTCTCTTCAGTACGGCGCAGAGGACAACAGCACAATCATCGTAGTGCCCTTTGGTGCTTGGGGAAAGCACAAGAGCTCGGACATGAGTTTCTCCTTCAGCAGAAGTGTCGTGTCCAGCGGCCGCTGGGCGTAGTCATCAGCACGGCGGGGGACGTAAATGTTGTGGTTTGTGACCGAATTAATTTGTGCAATACAATCGGGGGGGGGGGGAACAGTGCCCTTGTGGAAACATTAAAAAAAGAGTGTGGTTTGCCCGAACAGCAATACCTAAAGGTTACAACATGTTATTTAGAGCATCGTGATGTGTGTTAGCCTCCATGTAGTAGCAGGCAGTGGATTCATGATGTGCACTAAATTAAAAAATATCCTCTCTTTATAAATTATTTTATCTACTAGCAAGCCAATGACCGTATAAGTGCTACAAGCTGTGAGGTGTTTGAATGGAAGACAGGTTGGGCTGCTCCGAATAGTTCGACGCTTTTAAAGCTTCATTCATGATATTGACTATATGAGATTTAAATTCTAAATCAACAATCAAATGCTGCACAGTTTTATATTGGTTTTAATGGAAGGTGTCCCGGGTAGAGGTAGATGAAGTTATTAATAACAAACGGGAACATTGTGTGTTGTAGTCCACAATCAACCTTCTCTAACACACACACACACACACACACTGTGAACGCCGTGGCACTCGGCCCTTAGTCTGCACCTACATGTATTCATGGTGAAGAAACTTACAAGAGAAGTTCATGAAGACATCACTACCCTGCTCTACTTTTCATAATGTTTTAAGACCGTTATCTATTTAGCTGTATTGCCCAAGTTTTACTTTCATGGTTAATTAACGTTGATACGTTGCATCTAGATTTGACCGTCGTTTGACGCCTGCAGTCTCTGGATTTCTCAGTCTTGAGGGTGAGACATGTAGTCTCATCCTCTCATAGTACAGTAATTGATCATTTCTCAACTGATTGGAATTAATTGAACCCTTGTATGAGAATTCAAAATCTACTTAAAGGAACAGTGTGTAGCATTTTAAGGGGATCTATTGGCAGAAATGGGTTACGATATTAATAAGCGTGTTTTATATATAAACACCTGAACCTAAGCATTGTTGTGAAACCAAATCAAACGCTGGCTCCACATAGCGCCATTTGTGTTTGGCAAACCAGACTGCTAGACGAGCTAAATCCTCCACACTGCACCTTTTTTAAATGTACATTAAAAAAACGTCACGACTTCAGAAACAACTAAGCAACATGACCAACATATGTCGGATCAAGGTTTTCATCACTGAGTGTTAATTCAGTTTCCTGACCGTCATTTTGGGTCAAAGCATCCAAGTATTCTCTTCATGACACATCTCCTCTTCTAAAGACTTCCACATAAACAATGCACTTATTGTTTTCCAGGTACTTATACTTACTGAGGCGCCAAAAGCAATGTTGACGTCTTGATGGTTTGGGAGAAATCAACCGTGAATGTTCTGTGAATTAGTGTGAATGAAGTTGCTTCAATGCTATTTAAATTCAAAAAAGCGTTTGAGTGGCTGCTACAAGATATTCATGTTTGTTGCTGTATGAGCTTGTATGAGTGTTAATATCTGTACTGGTTTGAAACAGGTGTTGGAGGAAGTGTTCAGAGTAAAGAAATGTACAGTATATGTTTTGTAAATAATTCTATTTATGTACATCTGGAAAACTGATAGTTCTCGTTAAGTAACAACTCCTCTCATATCAGAAAATGTCACAAACACAGGACTTTACTTGGGTGTTTATACTGTGTAAAGCTACACCATTTAGATTGTAACTTGTTTACAATCGGTAAGTCCTCATTTACACCATTAATGTGTCACTCAGAAAGATCAAAGCACATTTAATGCAACACTAAAGAATTGTTCAGCTAGGAGCCATGTTTGACGATGTGAATGTTTGCTTAAATGCGCTCCATGACTAAGAAATATCAATCAACCCCCTGCTGGGTGTAGAAGTCGTTAAGCTGTATCAGTAGTGTTAGCGGACCTCGTGATCGTGGATGCAGACTTAAACCATCAACTGTGATCGACTGGACTGTTGTTTTTGTTTTGTGGTTTATGAAGCTAGAGAAATGCAACACTTCATATTTATCATCCTTGTTCTATCTGTGAGATGTTCTGTAGCGATCAGTTTTCTTTCCTCAAACACCATTTATAGACGTTTTTGTAAATACTGTTTTTTTTTTTTTGTTTTTTTTGTTTTGTTTTTTTTTTGTTTTTTTTTCCACTCATTCACATATTGAATGAAACCTTGAAATATTATAAGGACTTATAATTAACACGTTCTCCTTACAAACCATCTTTAAGGTGATCTATCACAGTGCGCTCAGTTTATATTTCCTGTATTTAGCGTCACTGCCTTCTAATTACAATCATTGTAACTGTGGACCTGTATCTGGGACCTAAATGTGACTGTTTCAACAACACTCTGTCAGTACTGTATTCCTGGTCTGAATGGCTTGTGTCCCTTCAATTAAAAACTTAACATAAAAAACGCATTTAACTTCTTGTCTATTTTTATTCAGGAAATATTTCATGATTGTCACTAAAATACTTTCACTGGCTTCCAGTCACTCACAGATCTCTCTGTGGCTCTGGGCCCAAATACATCTCTGATATTCTTGTGAACCGCCGGGAGCAGATTTCTTCTAATTTGCCACAAACGTCCACTTAGACTCAAGGATGAACTTCTTTATTTTTATTTTTTTGCCATGACTCAACAATTGATATGCTAATTATGACAGTTTCACACAAATGTCGATAACAGCATAAAATGATGAAGTGATACATTTTGGACAGACATGCATGTAAACGGAGGCATACAACCGCAAGGTGGTAATTCTAGTTTTTAAATTGTTTTAAATTGAATTCAACTGTGCATCTATATCAGGGAGTATTTGGCTTTTTTTTTTAAAACAAATAAATAAATAAAAAATTTCACTTTTACTTACTACTATACTGGTTTCCTTAAAATGTTTATCTCTTGTGTTACATGCCTGAATGTTTGCACTTTTTACATTATAAAACTCGTATTTCTATCTTTTCAAGGCAAGTCAACTTTATACAAATATAGTTGACTTGCCTCGACTCCTGAACTGAAACTTCTGGTTCCACAGGATTTGAGCTTGATAGTTGAAGGCTCTGGCTTATTTCCTAGGCTGCATTTCCAGTGACCTTAATTAACTGTCAATGACTTCACTGTTTCAGATTCAGACATGCATAAGTATAGACAAGGAGGATGTGTTTATGTAAAATCAGCCCGATCAATACACTCAGGTGCCCATCCTATTATGTTTTATTATATCAAATGCGGGTAAGGGTCCGGCAATGCCGTCTAGAGTAACTGTATCATTAGATCATTTGTAGCGGAGGATTTCAGTACCGAGTACTTGTTTGTCTTCCAGATTAACAGCAGGAAGTTGCAGGTCTTCCGGGTTTTTATGTCCTAAAAGACATGCTTGGAGCTTAGAACCTTGTGGAACTCTGTGACTAACTTTGGTAGGTATGGAGGATTGTTGGTTTACATGTACAAACTGGGATTGATCTTGATACATGCACCCCAATGTTGTCGAATGCAGCACTAACATCTAACAAAACAAGTACAAGTCATCTGATGCAAACTTTGCAAAGTTTCAGTCCCCTACTATCTTCGCTCCAGGTGAACAAAGAGTTAAACTGCTGTGCCGCTTGGCCAGACCTCTGCTGAGTGTGTGGGTGGATGGTGAGGCACCTGTCCCTGCTGTCATGAGCTGATATTAGTGAGCCTGCACAAAGTCTCTCTGCTCTGTCAGTCAGCAGCAGCAGCAGCGTTCCTGAAGGCTGCAGCACGATCTCCATACCAGCAGACTTCTCACAGTCTCTCAGCCCGGTAAGTCACTGCAACTAAACTTTTAATTTCTTTGCAACACCACCAGGATTTCAGATGATAAATTATTGTTTTAAAGTTTGATTCTGTAAGAATTGGTTGCTACCCAGTGAGCACTAACCCGGATTTCAACGTTGATTTCTGGTTGGAAACGGGTTGAAATGGGGTCTGAACGTCTTAGACATATATTTTCAACCGGCTAAATTACGGTTACAATATCAACGTGTCACAAAACACCAATTTGTTTTAAAATATTGATGGTTTGTTCAGTTGTAGGTTGAAAGAGACGCGATTTTGGTTATTTTAAACATATTTCTCCAAAATCATATTATAATCATATTATCATTGATAAGTGGTCTACATGAAGACGCGATTTCAACGCATGTTGATATATATATATATGTTATATATATGTTATATGTAATGTTTTATACAAAACTTCGTAAATATGGAACTATAGACTGTGTGAGCAGAGCACATTCTGTCTGTATGTTCATGTAAAATACGATTCTGTGTTTACTGCTGGAACACAGAATCGTATTTTCTGCGTGCGCACGGACTCTGTGCATTTTTCTAAGTTAGAGACGGCTGGGAACACGGCACGATTTGAGCTAGCTCTAATTGAGGATGGAGAAAGAGGGAATGGTTCCTAAAAAACAGTACAGTGTTAGTGTTAAGTAGAGTTGCAACGAATCAATTAATTGATCGACACAAAAATAATCTTTTAGCCTCTCAAATAGAAATTTCCTGGATGTATATTTGTTTGATATTCTATTACACTCTTTGGGTTTTGGACAGACAAAACAAGACATTTAACATTTTGATTTAACCAGCTGGATTTGTCATTTTTCACTATTTGTGACATTTTACAGGTTAATCTAATTGGTTGATATAGAAAATAATATTTCATTTCATTTTTCATTTAAATTAGTTGCTGCCCTAGCTTTAAGCCCTTTTATATTGGAGCCATGTCTTCTGAGCATGACATATTCTACATAGTTGAATAACTCAATTCCATCATCACTGATGATACTTAAATTAATAGGAAGAAGAACCAGTGTGTTTTTATTTATTATAGTTTTTCATTTATGCCTGTTTTTATTTTTGAAGCTATATGAGATCTAGGAAGTCCATTCGGAAGTCGTGGACACGCGCTTACTGTGTTTTTATTTCTGGTTAAACTCGCTGCCTTTGACCGCTCTTTGTTAAACATCAGTGTATCTCTTTGGTAGCTTTTTCTTTACCGTCTCTTTTTACTGATCTGTCCGTCTCCAAAGTATTTAATACATTCAATTAAAGGGAGCTGTTGAATTCCTTTGGCACAGATATGACATCTCCTCGGAGGATTTAACATTTAAAGATGCTAGATATTAATGATGGCAATTTGATACGGTTAACTATTTAAGTAAGACAAGTTATCGTCTATTCCTTCTGGACGTCACTTCACAGCGTCCTTAAAACAATTACATGAAAGGAAAATTGTACAGGCATACGTTTAAGTGTCTCAACGTCACTGCTTTAATCTGTGTTGTTCATTTTGAGAGGCATTTGTTTGAAATTATTATTACCATAATGTACACTGGTTGATCTATGAGCATGTGCACATTTTACACTGACACAATAGTTTAACATACCCTTTGAAATAAATACAGGGTAAAAACTAGTTTGGTGCATTGGTAATCATTTATGGAAGCTTACCTGGAATTGCCCCAGGAATTTATTTGAGCTGTGGTGTTACTGTAAGCCACCGAGATCCTAACACATCACATCTTTTGGTCAATTTAACAGCAGCCATATACTGTACATGTGAGATTTGCTGTGTGAAACCCTGAGATGCATTCCTTACTTTGCACTGTGTCTATATTGTTTTGCATCACACCAGTAGGTAACGCACTTGCTGCTCAGGATGACGGAGAGAGGCTGTCACATCAACATTGCATTGACAGAAGATGTCGGCACCAGCGGGATGGCGAAGGTGGTCACAGCCGTGGACCAGAAGAAGCTGCCGTATGGCTCCACCGTGAGCTTCCACAACATCCAGTACAAACTTCAGCATAGGAGTGGCTTCTTAAGGAAAACCAGTCACAGAGAAATACTGTTCAACCTCAAGTCAGTTGTAAAAATTGTACACCTTCTTTATCTTGTTTTCTTTGTTTTGTGTTTTATCAGTTGCATCTGTCTCTTCTTTCTTCTTTCTTATCATTCACACACTAAAATTCTGCAACGGACCCAAAGACCCAAATGCTCACAGAGATCTGTAGGTTTTTGCACTCTGGCACATTGATCAGTTGTTGCTTTCTCTAATAATTTGCTGCAGATTAATGACAAGCATTTTCTCAGCAAAGGAGACAAAAGATATCATTGACTATCGCAAAACATTTTTAATTTAGGAGTCTGTGTTAATGTAAAACAGAAGTGGTTCTTCATTGCAATTCAGTGTGACTCATTGTGTCCTAATCCAAAGTACAACAACAGTGAATATACTCTTACATTGGTTTCTTTCTGATGGTATTAAATACAAGTGACATTTCCCATGAAAGAATGAATCATTTCACACAAGTTTTTAGGCCTTTTCCCGCCTCGGGGTTAATTAAATGATATTAAGCATGGTTTCTTGCATATAATCTCTCTGGTGCACTAAAGAGCAGTCTGCCAGGGAAACAAATTAAACACTGTCACGTGAGCCACTGCCTGGATTTTATTCAAGTCTTTTAATTCCATTTTATATCGCTGACTCTTTCTCTTCTCTCTTTTGTGTAACTGTTCTCTCTGAAGTCAAAGGATTTTATTTTGAAATTTTTTTACACCACAGTATCATTTTTTGTTGTTTATGTGCAGCTTTCAAGATGTTTATGACATCTGTAAGAACTGCAAAATCTTTTCATGGATATTATTTCATTTGGGATGAGGGAGGGAAATTTATTTAGAAAAAGTGCGAAGAGGAAAGTGACTTAAGTGTTTCATCACATGTCCAAGAATTACTTTCTTATTTTCACTCCTCACAATCCTTTATCATAAAACTCAAAGTGAAAATTTGGCATTATGAATGCAAACCTTTTTAGTATGCCCTGATCTTTGCCTTTCAACTAATTCATCCATGTTGAATTGTGTCACTGTCTTGCAGTGGGATTATGAGACCTGGCCTCAACGCTATTCTTGGACCTACTGGAAGTGGAAAGTCTTCGTGAGTATCACATTGATCTCCAAGAAAAAATACATTCAAATGAGTCACTTGCATTTGTTGCTGTAGATGTATTTATTAAGTATTGTTTTTGGGGTTGTTTTCGTTGAAAGATTCTTGGATATTCTGGCTGCGAGAAAGGATCCTTCAGGTCTCCTGGGAGAAGTACTCATTGACAAAGCACCACAGCCTCCAAACTTCAAGTGTCTCTCTGGCTATGTGGTTCAGGTGCATCTGAATTATTTTGATTACCAAAACCTGCATGAACAGATTTTTGTGGCGACTTTGATATTCAGTCTGATATTCACTCAATGGTTTGGTCTCCACGTACTCCTGAGACAATCTCTTCAGCTGCTAAATGGTCCATTATGTTTGACAGCTTGTTGCTAACTTTCTCTGTGTGGTGTTTGACGCTGAGCAGGAAGTGTACAGTGTGTTTATTAGGGCTTTTTCACTCAAATTGGCTGCTGTGAAACTAAACAGTAAAGGGCTGTAAAACCAAAACAATGAGCTGAAAGACAATAAAAAGCTCCATGAAGCTGAGGAAAACTACAAAGTTGGGTGATTGATATAAAAACAATGATTATACCAGCTTTAACTACAGAGTTTGCTAGTTTCTAAACACTGTTAGATCATCAATTCTCTGCATTACTCTGTGGAAATTTAGACTACGAAACAAATGATCTTCCCCGTCTCTGACCTCTGACCTCAAGCTCTTGTCTCCTCTAACAGGAAGATGTGGTAATGGGCACCCTGACTGTGAGGGAGAATCTGTGTTTTTCTGCGGCACTGCGGCTGCCCAGTTCTGTGCAGCAGAGTGAGAAGGAGGCTCGAGTCAATCACCTCATTAGCGAACTGGGTCTCACCAAAGTGGCTGACTCCAAGGTAAATATTCACACAGTTACTTATCTTCTTTTTTAAGACATCAGGTGAGAGTTATGACAGACGTATGCGGGTGTTTTGCTCAGGTGGGCACACAGATGACACGGGGGATCTCGGGAGGAGAAAAGAGGAGGACAAGCATCGGCATGGAGCTGATTATGGATCCCTCAGTTCTCTTTCTGGATGAACCGACCACAGGACTGGACGCCAGCACCGCTAACTCTGTCTTGCTGTTGCTGAAAAGGTAATAAAGAAGCTTCTCTGACATTCTTCTGATTTTACTGCAGGTTATATTCAGAGAGTCTCCAGCTTTGTCTGTTCCCCAAAACTACACCTGTATACAATACAATGTAATTTAACTATGTACACGTGTGTTACTTTATGACACTATCAACTGAATATCGAGTTTCAATGCATCTTTTAAATATACATTTTCAAGGCTTATAGTCTTATTTAGAGCACATTTTTGGCTTATGTTAGAGCAAAAGTTACCCTTAGAAAGAAAATATTTGTTTTAATCAAGCTTTTAATGGCTACTGTTTTATTTAGGAGGATAATTTATATTTAATCAAATAAAGAGCGGCCTCTTTGGACTTAAACATCTGTAATCGCCCCATATATCAGAATCTACGTCACCTACGTTAAAAAATATTCTTTAAAATTAGAGGAAGAAAAGAGAATAAATCATGGAAACACCCTTCAAAAGAAAAGTTAGCTAGATCAAATCACATTCAGTAAAAAAAAAAAAAGACACACCTGTTGTATTCATAAAATTATATGTTTGATATCAAAAATAATTTTTTGGATGTTTTATCACCCTGTGCTTTTTGGATGAACCACACCTGCCATCATTAAGCAGATATGATGTATAGATGTGTGTTTGGTTTACAAAGATCCGAGTGGGATCAAAAAGTTATCATTATTAAACTTTTATGACATGGAGTGAGTGTGCAGGTGTTACAGATTTTCTTTATTGATTTTTGTTTTCTAAAAACCTTGCACCCACTTATATTGTGAATTATTCCCACAAAACTTAGATTTTCTTTCTAAATAGAAGGTAATGTCACAGACCTTCAGTGTATTGAGCGTGGGTGGCAATTATTATTGACTTTTACGGTCTTAAATTATAATGAATTAATGTTTACAGTTAAAAAATTATACTATTCTTTAACATTAATTCAATTAAAAGGGAGGCAGGTGTGCAAGAGTTTTTTGTTGTTGTGTTTTTGCAATTTGAAGGAATCTTTATTGTATTTACTATTAATATATTTTTTTACTATGTGTCTTTTCAGAATGGCCAGTCATGGAAGAACAATAGTTATGTCCATCCACCAACCCCGATACTCCATCTTCAAACTGTTTGACACTCTGACTCTGCTGGTTGGTGGTAAAATGGTTTACCATGGCCCTGCGCCAAACGCTTTGGACTATTTCACCAACATCGGTGAGTACGTGGAAACTATTATCACCACAACATCTAACATCTTTGTACGGTTCCTGATGTTTTTAATGTCACCTGGAAATGAATGTAGATGGTTGTGCAGCTTTATTCTTATACGGCGATAAATAAATCCGACAATGGAAAAAAAAAAAAATCAGTCTTGAGAAAACACTGGACACGTATTGATATTAGATAGTAATCGTTGTGATCTGTGTTCCAGGCTACCTCTGTGAGCCCCACAACAACCCGGCTGACTTCTTTATGGATGTTATTAATGGAGACTCCACCGCCACAACCATGACCAAAGGCAATGGCTCTGAAGGTATTTGTATCGCACATTTCAAAAAGTTGATTGAAAGTGCTTTACAGAAAAGGCATTAAGGTCAGATACTAAGAAACACAAGGAATACAAATACAAATATATTAGACATCAAAAGAGCAAAAATAGAAGATAGAAATAAGCTAAAATTGAATAAAACAAACTCAACAGAGCAATAAAATTGACAGTTCAAAGCAGGATATGACAAGAAAGTCAAGAAGTATAATTCAGTCCGATGCTGGTCAAACAGGCAATGCCTATAATATTAATATAGTATATTTCATACACGTAAACCCAAAGTGCTTTATATTTAAGGACTAAATAAAAGAATATAGATACAAGCATGAGCTCATATCAGCATAATCAAGATTAATATAGTAATACAGTAGTATACAAAAATAGAAACACACACATACACATACACAGCATTTAACCATTGGCCTGGGAGAATAGGTACGTTTTGAGACTGCTTTTGAATGTGGACACAGTTGTGATGGACCTAGAGTCATCAGGCAGCTTGATCCAGAGAGCAGGACCACGGTAACTGAAGGCAGCCTCACCAGACCTGGATCTAATTCTGGGCCCAGCTAGATGACCCGAAGGTCAGATCAGATCATAATCAGTGAGCAAGTTAGAAATCTACCGAGGAGCCGAAAAGGACCATGAAGCATTACTATAATATACTTGAAATAGAGCGTTACAACAGTCTAACCTGCTTGAGATATACTGTATGAATGAACATTTTTTGCAAGTGGAAGAGCAACATGTTTCACTCACACATCATCAGACTCTTTTATAAGGTAAATATTCCTCCAGTTCACATTGAAGGTCCACACTATGATTATTTTTTTTTAAATCCAGTGCTTTATGGGATCTTGAGTGTCTATTCTAGAAGAGTACTTTCAGTTCTTAAATCTGTCATTTTCCTCCTGTGCATGGCCAGATTTGGACATTGATGAGCTCATCAGTTCCAGGCAGAGCATCCAGAAGAACCTGGTGGAGGAGTACAGGAACAGCAGCTACTCCTTCGACACAAGAGCTGAGCTGGAGAGTATCATCCAGGAAAAGAAGTGCATCTCATATGCAACATCCCGCACCGTCACCTACAACAGCTCCTTCTTCCACCAGCTGCGTTGGGTTCTCACGAGAATCTTCCAGAGCCTCAAGCTGAACCCTCTGACGTCTGTGGCCCAGGTATACACCCCTATTACTCACCTACAACACAACACTCATCATCAATGGTAAGAATATCACAGTCATGAACTTGAAGCCATCTGTTGTTTTTATTGCAATGGACATATTTCATATGAGTAACACAATAAATAACAGGGCACATCTTTGATAAATTATTCTTCGCTTCTCACACTTGCTGAATTGTTGTAGATTACTTCCATTACAAGTTTAATAATTTATGCTCTAAAAGGCAAACACTATGCACAACACTTAATTATTTTAGATTTATTGATCTGAGGTAAAGTCTCCTCAGCTTTTTGCCATCACGTCTCAAGTAAGTCCTCATTTTCGGGACTTTAGTGCGACTCCAAGTCTCGAGCTCTGACGGATGAATATTTAATTAACGTCTCAGTTTTCTGTTTTAACGTTAAAGGTTTAAACATGATGTTGTGCCACTATCACTTTTACTTTGTTCAAACACTCCAAACATAATCGATGTCAGTGCTGTTATCATCTTGGAACAGGATGCATAGACGGCACTTTAGAGGGGTCGAGACTTAAGGCTCTCATTAGTCACCCAATGGCGGCAAAAAGCTGTCAGAAGTCTCCTCACATTAAGAATTATTAACAGCTAATTGGCCCTAAATAAGTCAAAATAATCCTACAAGAGAGGCTCTCGGTGGTGTGGGCGCCGTAATCGGCTTTGGTGACTGTTGCGACCCCACTCTTGCCTCTTTGGGCCAGGATCTGAACTGATATCATATCTGGACAAAGCCCCTTGGCCCTGGTCCGGGACTCATCACATGATGCCTTCATGATCCACTGCCCCGCTTTCACATGAGGGGCTGTGGGGAATGAGGTGAAAAAGGCTCAACCTTATTAGCTTATCCCTTCACCCTGGGAACCACTTAGTCCCATCATAATCTGTAAATTGTTAAGATTAAAACTTGTGTCGCTTTCACTTTTCTCAATGTTTTCCATCATCCTCCCCCACCACCAGTTCTGGTTAGAGCTGTGTGGAGGAGGAGCAGGGTGTCTACTTGACCCCAGATCCCCAGAATCATTGGCTTTTCTGTCAAAGAGGATACTGCTTGAATGAACGTATATAGACATTATATGTGGGTGTTTCTGGAACCTCATCTACTTGCAATGTGCATGAAGGAGGTAAATTGTCAAAACTCCAGCAAAACGTAGTACTTTAACAATTTTACTATGACACCTTTATAAGAGTCATCATGCAACACTTATCAAAGAACATTAAAACAGGATGAGTATGAAAGAAGAAAGAAAAACATTCATAATCATCTTGTTCTTTGCAAAGTGTTGTATGGTGACCTTAATGAAGGCCACAAGCCAAAACCATTGGTCAGACAATAAATCTGTTCTTAGCATTGTTTGGGTTTTGACCCTGGTTGCTATCTTGTGTTTTTTCTGTGCAGGTGGGGGTCAGCATTTTCCTCGCCCTCGTTGTTGGAGTCATTTTCTTCGGGGTCAAAGATGATCAGAGCGGTATGCAGAACAGGTGAGAAACCTGCTGAACTACTGCACATGTCCTTCGGAAATCCTCTGTTTCCATCCATCCAAATGTATTTACTGTACAGAGGGCCACGGGCTGCCAATGAGGACAGCGAGGTTATGTCCTCCGTATTTCTTCTGGTCATCGGTAATCTGAAAAACTATCACTTCAACACTTGATTTAATATATTTTAAGACTCGGCACACTTAAAATTGGCTTCTTTGAGGCATTAAAACATTTTTATTTTTGTTTTTTGAAAGGGGGGACTTGGAAACCCTGACTTCAGTCATCCTATAATAATAAAAAAATACATTATATCATAGCTAACAATAAAACCCACCATCATGCCCAAACATCATGTGTTTACCAGGACAGTTGAAACTTTTTATTTTATTGCCCCGCCCTTTGCCTTGCTTTGTCTGTCAAAGCACTTTGTAAACTTTGTTTTTAAAGGTACCATATTAATACATTTATTATCTTTATTGTAATTATTATTTATAATGCACAATCTACAGCTATTGCTTACCATTATAATCTGCACATCTGTTACAATGTGCACACAGAAATGCTATTTTGATTATTTGTGTTAATTAGGTGCCTATAGTATATAGTATGCGCATAGGGATTATTGCAACATATTTCCGAAGAATTGTTCAGGTTTTTAAATTCAGCCACTTGCTTTTAATACGGAAGTGTGAAAGGTAGAGCAGTTCCTGCATGGCTAATCCTCTTACAATGTTTTATTGGGCACAACCTGGTACTCCAAAACTCAGTGAAGCACATTATAAATCTCAATGGTCTCCCTCTTTCTTTTTTTTCTGTGTATGGTTCAGTGAAATACATATTAAGGACATTAAGGACTTAATGTCATTATATTCATGGTCAAAGCATAGGCAGTATAGTAGACACCAGTGTATGCGGCTTAAATGTCTCAAGTTATTCAGCCCTCCCTCCTTTTCACTGGGTGCAGGGCCAAAGTGGAGTCGGTCCCCTTTTAAGTCCCTGCATGTACATGTGGACTACATCACATTTAGTACCATAATCTCTAGCCAACTCTCCCTTTAGAGTTAACTCTTGTCAGTGTAATAGGCAACACTCTTTAATTTACATAGCATGTTTCATTAGAGTTAAACTCAATCGAAACTATTTCGATTTTGTGGTACTTACTTATTTAAGACTACGAGCAGAATTTTAAATTCAATTTTCTGGACCCCAGGACGTTACTGCACCCGACTGAGAAATAGTACAGCCCATAACCTCCTGTAAAACCAAAATGTGTTGCTTTTATATATCTACACTGTGAAGACATAGATAGATATAGCAAGACATGACATATTGATTAGTGAGCTTTAGAGGTGCTGGTAGGCAGACTTTGTTACCTTGGACAGAGCCAGGCTAGTAGTTTCCCCCTGTTTCCTGTCTTTATGCTAAGCTAAGCTAACAGGCTGCTGGCTGTAGGTTTATATTTACCTTTCAGACACGAGAATGTCTTGAATTTTGAAGGATGATTTGATTGATCAGGGGGTGGAAACTGGCAGGAACAGACTCTGGACAACTGCTGGACAAGGAAAGAATGGCAGGGTCTGAAGTTACACAACAAAGGTATATCAGTGACGGGCAGACTCGCAACAAAGTGGGAGAAGCTGTCACTCACACACTGGCTACTGTGTTATAAATGAGCTTCAGCTCTCTTTTGTTTGTTTGGAGAACACCAGTCATTATTTACAAAACCTCAATCCCTTTCTTTTGTTTCCTTTGTCATTAGATAATATACTGTGAATATTATGTGTGTGCTCTTTCTCTCTGTCTGGAACCAGTACCTATAGCATTTGTGGAATATGACATGAAAATGTTGCAATACTGCCTAAGAGAGACTCAATGATCAAGTTTTGTTTTTCTGTTCTAACAGGATGGGTGTCCTCTTCTTCATCACAGTCAACCAGTGTTTCAGCACTGTGTCTGCAGCTGAGCTCTTCATCACCGAGAGGAAACTGTTTGTGTATGTAATAGAGGGAAGGGGGAGGGGGGGGGGGGGGTCACTCAGACTTTAGATTACGTATTAGATATTTATTATTTAGATAGTTTGAGATATTTGGCATTCTCTCTTCCAAATAGTCATGCCACGTAACTATCTATTCATGAAAATAAATTACATACTTTCGGATCCTCCTTCCCCCAAGAATGTGTGCGAACATCAATGATTTGGAAGAGTGGCATTTTTCAATGTTACGGGACGTGCAACAGAAGTAATCCTGGCCAGTCATAAACCACAGAACAGCCCATCTGCAAATGTAAATAAAACATATTCCAACGGTGTAATCCACGGCCGGGGTATCGGACAGATTAATCGATTATCAGCTTTCTCCTGCTCCAAACTGTAGTTATAATATCAGCCTTTCAAAATCCAATATTTGGTCGACCTCTAGTATGTATTCTGTCAGGGACTTGGAATAAGTGGGTAGAGATGGAATTTCTGCTTTTGTTTTCTTGTGACAGGCATGAGTACATCAGTGGCTACTACAGAGTGTCTGTCTACTTCCTCTCTAAGATCCTGTCTGAAATCACTCTGATCACCATCACCTCTGTTATCTTCAGCTGTATTGCCTACTTAATGATTGGTAAGATTGACAGATGTATGAACTAATTAATGTGTGGAAACTTGATCGAATACTGAATTTAAATGCAGATGGCTCTGTATTTCAGTCTAGAAACTAGAAAAGTGCTCTCAGTAGAGTGCAGATCTCCGCCAGGTGCCTCTCCCTCTTGACTCCAAACAAAGAAGAGTTGAATTTTCCTCAGTGTGTGTGTGTGTGTGTGTGTGTGTGTGTGTGTGTGTGTGTGTGTGTTTCCGTCTGTCTGTCCGTCCACTCAGGGCTCAAATCCACAGCTGCACCCTTTTTCATCTTCACGCTGACCGTGACTCTGGTGGGTTACACAGCCATAGCCTTGACCATGGCCATCTCAGCTGACCAGAACATCGTGACTCTCGCCAACATCTACATAACCATCACCTTTGTCTTCATGATGGTGAGAGACACAGAAAAACACACGTATGCACACAAGTGGGTTTCAAGTACAATTACAGCTTTTAACTTTTCCTTTAGTGATGTCAAAATGTCAGCTGAGAAAAAAAAGCTTCAGTTTGTGTTGTGTTTGTAGATTTTCTCAGGTCTCCTGGTGAACTTACCCAGGATGAGTTACTGGCTGGCTTGGTTGCGGTACTTTAGCATTCCTCGCTACGGCTTAGCAGTAAGTCACATTTAAATGGAGGTTTTGACAGGAAGACCTGCAATAAAACTAATAGTAAGAACTAAATGTTTATAGTTCATATATATATATATTCATTTATTTATTTATTTATTTATATATATATATATATATATATATAGCTTTGACGTTTCACATCTTCACCGGGTATACTTATACATAATATACACAGACATTTTTGGTAATGATATTAAAATGAATTCTTCATCTTGTGATAGTATTTGACAAACTAATGTTAACTCAAAGTCCACTTGCTGGGCTTTTACCGAGCTTTCAGTCCGTGTCACTATTTCCATGCAGTAGCTCTCTGGTTAACAAACTGTTTGTAAATTATCTAATTTCTGTTCTCCCATGTCTTGTTAGTTATTGTTCAACAAAAACAAAATGCTGATGCACCTGCATTGAGCTGATATCAGTCTATATATTGGCCCTGATTTATCAGGCTTTAAATATTACGTTCACTTCTTTCTCCCTGTTCACATGCAAAGTCTACCTGATAATGACAACGTAATATTGTAATACTGACAAAAATGTTGGATTGTGCATACGCTATACTATAGCCTAGTAATATTTATAGCAACATCTCATTTGCCTAGTAGGTTTTAACATACAGTACAAGCATTGGTGTTTTGCTGCATAACAAACATAGCGAGAGAGAAACAAAAACTACTGCCAAAGACACATTTTTTGGACAATGATAATTAATAATTTGATGGCCACATTTTTCCATTGATCAACACAGATCAGCATACAGTCTCAGTCTAGAGTCAAATCTACTATATTGACTATGATCTGCTCAGCATTTTATTGATTACGTCGTCTTTGCTTAGGCCTTGCAGGCCAGTGAGTTTGTGGGTTTGAAGTTTTGTGACGAGGCTGTGATCCGAAACACAAACCGCAATGTGAGCACAGTCGGCCTGATGTGAGTAGACCTGCATGCTTTGTATATGCTCTGGTTATATGTTACCGGTTTATACCACCTGTGACAAATTAGGACCAATCAGCTAGTCCACCATGTTTCATGTTAAAAGTGGACATTGTTACAGTCATAAGCATCATTCTAGTTGAATAACATTTATTAAATATGCTTAAATATTGATATTTAATGTGTACGTGACCAGTTGGGATTGTTATTTCAGATGTACAGGAGAGCAGTATCTGGACTACCTGGGAATAGAGCACACCACCTGGGGACTGTGGGAGAATCATGTGGCTCTGATCGTTATGACATTCATATTCCTCATCATCACCTATCTGAAACTCCGCTACATCAAGAAATTCACTTAAATGTGTGATTATGCATCTTTTATATTTGTCTTCAATGAACAAGGCCAATAGCTGTTCGCCAAGAACTTCACCTTTAAAGGAACAGTACACCATTGTTTGCTTTTTTTGCAACTGAAACCACTCTCATATCTAGATCTGGGAGTATTGATCTTCTCATCCAACTCAAAGTGAATAAGCAAATTTTCCCAAAAATGTCAAACTATTTCTTTGAGTGTGTCTATGGTTTGCATTTGTATAGTGTGATATTCAGTACAGCTAAAATACAAACCTGAACGCAAACTTTCGTTTTGTCATCTTTGGTGTAAACCATGCATCTCTAAATTGTTAACATTTTAGGAGCTAATTGACAATGTATTTTACTTCATCACGTCGTTTTATAAACCCAAACGTTTTCTGATGCGTGACATATGCATATGGAAAGGGCTTTCTGTCAGAAAGCTTTTTGAGAAACTAACTTTTACTAAATAATAATTGAGTCCGTACTTTTATAACTGAGTAGTCTTGATTATACAGCTTTTGTACAATTTTCAAATTACACTTGATATAAACTGATTGTGGAGATTACATCTCATAGATTGTATGTGTTAAACTTTTCTATTGTTCCAAAGTAAATGTCTATGTATAGCCCACATTTAACATTTCAAGGTTTCATTTATTCTCATTGTGCAACACAGGGTTGCGCATGTAGTTTGTAGTCCCATTTTGCGAAGAAAACACAAAAATTCAAAACTATATTATAGGTGGAAGGTGGAGGATGAGTTTAGGAGTCTCTCAGCCTGAGGAATGAAGCCGCTCTGAAGTCTGGTGGTACGGCAGCTGATACTTCTTTGTTGGTGACTGTGGCTAAGTGGAGAGCAGGGCCGTCCTTCAATCGATGGATCGGCGGTTCGATCCCTAGCTCTGGCTCCACTAGTCGCATGTCAATGTGTCCTTGAGCAAGACACTTAACCCCAAATTGCTCCCGTAGCTGTGCCTACGGTGTATAGATAGACACTAAATAAAAGCATCTGCTAAATGAATGTAATGTAATGTATTGCGGCAGCAGGGTGCTAAGTTTACGGTTTCATATGGGAGATTGTCTTGAATGCCAAGCTGAAATCAGCAAACATCATTCTGATGTACGTGTTGTTATTTTCAAGATGAGTGAGGGCCAATTGGAGAGCAGTGGAGACGGCATCTTCTGTGGATCTGCTGGCTCTGTATGCAAACTGGTAAAGGGTCCAGACTGGCTGACCGCTTGTAGGCGGGGCAGACTTGACAGCTGACTCTTTGTTGAGGAGATCAAAGCCAGCATAAAAGACCTCACACATGATGGGGTTGCTACTGCTTTTGTAACCTGTAACATTCTGGATCGCTTGCCAAATATCTTTAGTGTTGTTGGTGTTGAGGTCTCTCTTGACGCCTCCCCTTTGCCTCTTTGATACCAATCAATCTTGTTCCCGGCGATGCTTTAGGCTTCGTTGTCACCTGAACAAAAAGCAGCTTTGGATAGTGTCCTCACCTCTCTATTCAACAAGGCTTTCTGGTTGGGGACAGATTTAGTTGTCTTTTTGATCACCACATCATCAACACATTTGCTGATATGTGATGTCACCGTGGATGTATATTCCTTAAGATTGATGTTGTTTTCCTGGGTGACGGTGTCCCTGAACATGTGCCTGTCTGTAAACTGGGGGGTTTTTTTCTGATGGTTTTGCCCGTTTATTCAGCTGGGAGTGTAGGCAGCAGAAGCAGGGAAATATGGTCTGATTGTCCAAAGTCTTTGTAGCTGCCAGGAATATTTGCTGATATGGAAATGCTGGTGGACTCTAGGTAAAACAGATCTGAGCTTTGTTTGATTAAAATCACCAGCTATAATAAAATTACCACCTATTTATATTACGATACAGCATTTCGAGAACATGTATAAACATTTTCATGTAAAATTGTTCTTTTTGGGGTTTTTTTCAGTGCAGGGTGTTTTAATGTTGACCTATAGTTATTCTGTTGAATGTATGTGATTGTTGGTTGAATACTTGCCAACGCTTTATTTTACAGGTCAGTAATTTCCTAATAATTTCAAAGGAAGTTTTACAAAAAGAACTATATCATTTGGTAGTATAGTAACTGAAATAAGAACATGTTGTCTGCATTTCTTTCTTAATTAGTTCCAGATTATTAGGGAATTATCTGAATACTGAAGTTACTGAATACTTTAATCGTTTAGTACAGTATTTGTACATGACCAGGCCACATTTTTCAACGGATTCCTCTGGTGTACATTTACAGTCATATTATAATTGTTGCATTACTTAGTTTTCGGTATCTTGGGGCATGAATTAGCATATGAAAGGAAGGAAATGTGATCATAAGATTAAAGAACATTTCCATTCAATAAACTGCAGATGTAGTCTGAAGAAAATCAAAGAACAATATTGATTTGGCACTACTATAATCTAATGTTATCATTTATGAGTACCTTATCCTTAACATATAAAGCATGTGGTATAAATAATGTTAACATTTTTGAAAAGGAAGAACATTTTTTATAAAATTAGTTTCATGGTTTTTTGTCACTTAAAATGAATCGTAATCCAAGTCAGAGAAACTGCAACAAATAAAACAAATGCATATTTTAATAACACTTTATTTGGCATGACAGATTACAAAAAGAAATAGATTGTAAAAAAATGTAAGGCACAGAGGAAAATAATAAATGCATGGGTTTCCCATGAACACTAGATGCACTCCAAATCGAAGTTTGTTTTAAGTTACAATATGTATCATAAAATGATAAGCTATTTAATTTGAAGCTTAATTGATGTACAGAGGATAAGTAAATATGGCAGAGTGTGCCACACTTGTACCTACTGTGTATTAAAATTATGAAAACAATAATCAGCATAATTAACAGAAATGCATTTTTGGTATTTGTGTAAATGCTAAGATGTGTGGATACAGTAATCAAAAGCAGGTGAGCATATTTCTCATAGAATACTAAAATCATATGCTGTGTATTCAGAGTACAACTGAGTATGGCTGCAGGCTGGTGTATTATATCCAATACTGTATCTAATACTGTGATACAACACTTTACTGTAAATCCTTTGTTATTCTTCAACCTCTTTCCACATCTGTATGTTTCCTTTCATCATCCTGTTAAAGTAATACTTGATAATAGCTTTAGTGAATACATTTAGATGTCTCACAGGAGAACCTCACTCACTTTCAGTGCATTAAAGTATTGGAGGTAAAGTGCGTTTGATTTTGTCACTTCCTTTTGTAATACCTCATGAAATATTATCTTGGTTACTTGTACCACTGCAGGGATATTTCCAGTAGAGAGGTTTTTTGCCAGAGTGGAATATTCTTCACTGGGCCCTGGTCCTCACACATGGCTGCTCCCGTTTGTGCTTACGTCGAGGCCGTCGGTGGACAGGGAAGAGGACGGGCGGGGCCGGGGGCCGACAGGAGTGACAGGCTGTGTGTGGCTGACCTGTGAGACCATATCGTCAGACTCGCAGCGCTCCAGTTCCTCCCTCACTAGCCTCTCCATCAGCTCACTGTGGACGTCTGTGTCCCGTCCCAGACGCTCATCCTGACAGACAACAACGGATTAAGTTGTACGGCTTGTTTACATGCACATAAGAAACCAGGTCACGTAAGATATCTGACAATGTGCACTGTTGTAACCTGATTAATGTAGATCTGCATATACAGTTCTTGCAGCAGGACAGTATTCACATTTCTCGCCGACGCCCAACTTAATTATGGCACATGGCTTATTTATGTTAATTGTATTAATGATGTATCTCACCTCCATGACTCCGTCCAGCAGTCTGCCCAGCACATCTCTCCTTTTGAGTACAGCTCTCTCCATGGTTTCCAACTTCACGATCACAGCATCTATTTTGGACACTATGCTGCCAATTGAATGCTCCATTCTGTCCACACGTCTCACCAGCCTGAGAAACAGAGAGACGTTAGTTCCCTTTATAATATTACATGAACAGGGATGTTTTGACTAAGAGGGGACCTCAAAGTAGAGCCAACATTATTGCCCATAAGCAACATGGAATCACGGATACAGGACATTTGAGGTAATTTAGAAAAAGAAAAATATCTATTACATAGTTTGATTACCATGGACCACTGACAAGTTTAAATTGGTAAAGTATAGGCTGTTAAATTTCTTGCTCAGTAGGAATCCTTCTCAAAATGTGTTTATGTTTAAAAAGGAAATAAAATAATATATAAAATAATATAATATATTATTATCAGACCTTTTAAAGTCAAATATCAATATTGGTTCAAAAAGTAATCTAGTATTGGTAGGGCTATACCTCGAAGATAAACATATGTTTTCAAACTGATGCCATTATTTATATTATTCATAAGTAATAGTTCAGTATTTATTCATAATTAACCTGCTTGTAAGTTATGGCATAATAGTAAAAGCTCCATACACTTGAAACTCTTCATAGGAGACACCCCCCGAGCTGCTGCCGCGGCGGCGAGAGCTGTGGCCGCTATCCTCATCATCGTCTTCCTCCGAGTCTTCCTGTGTGCGAGGAAAGCTCCGCCCGCTGCTGGGTCTAGTCAGCGAATTGCGTTCCAGATCCAAGTCCTCCTGGCAAGCGAGCAGAGACACACTGAACATCCGCAGTGTTGTTTTTGCTGAGCGTAGATTTGCGACATATACATGCAGGTGTGTTGTGTTTTTCCATGTGTTGCTGTTGGCATCGTCACTCACTCTCTCTTTCTCCAGGTCGTCTCTCATTTGTTGGTGTTCATGCTCCGTCAGCTCCTGGTCGCCATCGTGATCATACTTGGCAAAGATGGCCTGAATCTCTGCGTCTGTGTGGCCCTTTCTGAGGAAAGAAAACAATCAAAACACTCTCAGGACACGTCGTATTAAAATAATATCATAATAGTTCATAGCTTTTAGCGGTAGTTGAAGTTGTCTTCACCCTTTAAGATCCTGGCGGAGTTCATTAAAGTTGAGTTTGCCCCCGGCCTGACGCAAACTGTCGGAGATGTCGTCTACTGCCGTCTTCTTGAGTCTCAACTTCATCAAAGCTTTGTTACAGC